CCGCCCGTTTGGCCACCTCTAGGACTGAGGGGAGCACAGCTGTCCACTGGATTGCTCGATGCACTGGTCACTGGGCAGAGGATAAGACTATACTGTTGATGAGTATCAATAAATACATAAATAGTAAAGAAAGTTAGTACTAATAAATTACTCATTGCTGGTTTAGATTGGTACCATCTTAAAGCATATTATTTTGTGCCAAAATTTATAAATATGTGGATGCATTTAGTTTTGTTACTAAATATTAGTGATGCATAGGGAATTTTGGTTACAACACATTTAGCCTATCCTACTAAAACTTAAAATTATTGCCAATTTATCAAATTATTAACATTACAAAATTTTTGACAGGTTCGTTTGGGCACTAATCTAAACATGCCTTTAACTTTTAAATTACAATGTTTTAATGGATGCAAAATAGTTATAATTAGCGTAAAAAATATTTTACAATATTTATATAACTTAAGCAAATTGCGGTTAAAGTTTATACCTAAACAACAAAAGGTAGTATCAAATAAAAAAGAAACAGTGGAGTAGTAGGGTTGATTGTTACATCCAATTTGGCCACATCATCTGCTTATTAGTTTATACAATGTATTGCATCTAAAACATTATCTCCAATACATTATAATTATTTAATTAGCTTATTCATTTTTATCCTATACATATTACTCTCCAATTTGCTACCTTGAAGTTTGTAAAGAGGTTTCTCCTTGTATAAAGGCCTGAAGGGTGACTCTTTCTCTTTCTCTTTCTCCTCTCCTCTCCCTCCCACCTCACCCATTTTCTTAAAACACACACAGTACATGTATGCACTCACAAAGTGCACACAATCATCTCTATGAACCTCTATGAATACACACAAGCACACCACAATCCTATGAATACCTCTTTGTTGATGGATATATCGCTATCACTGAAAAATAATTAGCTAAACCCAGTGGACTGGTTCTACCACAAGGAACTTGCCAAGTTGAGCTACGCTCACCTCGCCTCCACCTCACCAATTAATCTTACGTGGCACCTTGCAGCTTATGCTTGGATGTTTTATAGTACTTGCTCTAAAAGGTTTGTTACGTACTCCCTCTGCCGCAGAAGAACATCACCTTTTGACCAATCAAACTAAGGTATACACATTTAATTGGAATTTTAGAAAAAAAAAGGAATCGATAAGGACGTCAGTGGTATTTCTCCTCACTACTAATTTGTAGGAGAATCGTTATAAATAAATTTGTCTGGGGTGGAAGGAATAGAACAATAGGGATTTTGTTTTAGTTGGTGAGAAAAGCTCTGTCATTATAAGGTGGCATAGGCATTAAGAGACTATGTGACTAAGTGGACAAATTAAATAAGATATATTATGATTGTTTGAGATAAGAGAGTAGGTACTCAATTGCTATATTTTGCTATATTGTAAGACAACTTTTAAATGTTAGAAATTGCTATATTTGAAATGAAGGGAGAATGTTTTTTTATTAACGATCTTTTTTACGTAAAAAACACTACGGTCGTTATTTAAAAATATCTATTTTGCAAAACCTATTTACAAATGGACCATGGTTTATTTAGCTGAAGATGAGGCTTGATAATTAATGCTTTAAAAATAAGTATATTTCAAACAAAGTACACTTACATAAAAACTCCTTTTAATAACTCCAGCATAAATAGATGAAAATATGATAATTTTAAATTAAATAACTCCACATATTGAATTAAGAATGTAATGGAATCGAGCTAATCCTACTCAAAATCTCTCGAAATTTCTAAGTTGATATATTTATAAGGATGGGTTAAAAAGGACGCGCCAAATGGCGCGCTAATTTTCTAGTGCTTTCTGTTTGGAAATAGTATTTCTTCTTAGCTGTCAGTTGACGGTTACTACGTCCATGTGCTATGATAATCACAGAGTATGTATTATTAATTTGGTTGCTACTAGCAGAATAGAAGGATTGCTAGGTAAAAAAAAAGTAAAGTGCACGGACGGTCCCTAAACTTACGTGGGTGTGTTACTTAGGTCCCTAAACTCTCAAAATGAATTTTTGGGTCCCTCAACTTGTCTCGGGTGTCATATAAGTCTAAACGGGTTCAACCCACTCTGTGTGTTGATGTGGCATGTCATGATGGCGCCTACGTGTTAGCAGAAACTATATGTCAGCCACATATAGAAAAAAAAATTAAGAACATGTTTTTTCCCTCCTCTTTTTTCATTTATTTTTCAAAATTAAAAATATCATTTTCTCCTCTCTCTCTCTCTCCTCTTTTCTTAAATTTTATTTTCTTCATATGAGTGACATGTGGATCCCACTGACATGTAATCGTCACCGTGGCATGTCACGTCATCTCACAGAGCGGGTTGAAGCTCGTTTGGACCTATATGACACTCATGATAAGTTTGGAGACTCAAAAATACATTTCGAAAGTTTAGGGATCTAGATGACACATCCGTACAAGTTTAAGAACCGCCCGTGCAATTCACTCAAAAAAAAAGAATAGAAGGATTGGTTCTCTTTATTTTGTTAGGTGCCATTGGAATTAAGTTTCCTGATATCACTGTTAATCCCGTTCTTATCAGATGATATGTCAGGATGACGAGAATTCCTGTATATAGCAATGGTTGATGAGCAATGATTACGTTCAAACTATTTCAGAATTGATTTTGTGGTAATTTGAGGTTTGTAGAAATCATACAAGTAAAGCAAAAAGTTCTATCTGTTGTTCCTCCTGGTTGAACAGAGATTATGGAATACTTGGTTTCCCTTTCAATGATCAACCCACTTAACCATGAATAGTTGGCAGTAGTCTGATTGTTCAATCTCGAAAAAGTGTTCTTCTATCTGATTTAAAATTCTGAGCAAATGGTGAGGAAAAAAATGTTTTTTCTCAAAGGGTTAATATAACAAAAAAAATGAATTTCTATATTCTTGTCACAACGTACGGATAATTTGCTAGCATATACTCCCTCTGTTTTCAAATATTTGACGCCGTTGAATTTTTTAAACATGTCTGACCGATCATCTTTTTTCCTATCATTTGATTCATTGTTAAATATACTTTTATGTATATATATAGTTTTACATATTTCACGAAAGATTTTAAATAAGACGAACAGTTCATGTACTAAAAAATCAACGGTATCAAATATTTAGAAACGGAGGGAGTACATAATAATAACCCAAGTCACTTTGCACCAAACCTGACTTTTTTGGTAACTGGGAGTTTAGATATGGTAAGATTAAGTGGCAATTTGATTTTTAGTCTTGTTTGGTAAGGGTATGTACAACCGTCTTTATTAGTGGCTTTCTCTATTAACATGCAAATAAACTTGGTGATGTGCAAGAAAGGGAAAAAAGAGAAAAATAGTTGTTACGCACGATAACGGCTCAGAGTCGACTCTTAGTATTTATTAGAAAATATTTTGTTGCATGGGGTTGAAAGAAAGGAAAGAATTGGGAAAAAATATTTTTTTCGTAAAATATATATCGAGAGGCCTCTCGATCTGGTCCTATCGCGTGACGTATCCAGGGACATCATGCACGGGAGAAGTCTACTACATGCATGTTTTTTAATAGATATGTATGTCTTTTTTCTCTTCAAACAAAGTTTTCTCTCAAATTACTTATCCGATCTACAATCCGATTATACCATTGTGTTCGTTATAATTAAATCTTCAGAACAAGATCTGACATGATTACATTACGATGAAAAAAAATTATAGTTGTAAATTACTTTTATTACATATATAAGTTACTGTTATCATATACATAAAAGTATACTTTTAGATTTGACTAAATTACTTCTTAGATATATAAAAGTAAATTTTATAAAGTCTAAAAGTAATTTACATATATTATAAAAATAACTTAAAACAAAACGGAAGTAACTTTGTCACGGCATTAAAAGTAAATTCGTTGTAGGAATAAAAATATGACTTTATCTAGAAATTAAATTTAATCAGCATAAATCAACACACGTAAGTTTAACAATTTTTAAAAGTAACTTCAATGTTAATTGGAAGTAACTTTTGTATGGTTAAGAAGTAACTCTCTATAAATCTGTTTAATCACCGATTGTTTTTTTCCTTTCATTTTTGCTTTTCATGTAGAATGAGAAAAGAAGATAAAACCTTCGATGGATTGTAAATAACATTGATGGAATAACTAATGAGAATTAGTTAGGTATAAGATGTAATAGTTACTTCCTGATAACCTTTCTAATATGTAATAAATTACTTTTAAATTAATAAAATATTTGAATATATTCAATATGAATCTTGATTTGTTACATATTTTGAGTGGAGTACAATGATGCAAATAGATCTTAAAAATGATATGTGATTTAAAAGATATAAGTTATTAAAGAGATTAAAAATATATATACTATTGTATTTTTCAAGTTGAAAGGAGACACTAGATGGATCACAAACCAGCTACCCGTCACGTCCAACGAAAAAAAGGCATGTATTAGAGTTACTTTCATTTTATTATAAGTTATTTTATAATATATGTAAATTACTTTTAGGCTTTGTTGAATTTACTTTTATATGTCTAAGAAGTAATTTAGTGAAATATAAAAGTAATTTAGATATATTATAAAAGTAATTTATAATTTTTCATCAAAATATAATTATGTGAGATCTTGTTATAAAGATTTAATTGTTACAAACACAACGGTGTAATCGGATAGTAGATCGGATGAGTAGTGTAAGAGAAAATTTTATTTGAAGTATAGATGGATAGGGTCTCTCATAGATGGAGTGATACCTAGTTTAGACAAACCAGCTATCATTAGCTGTCTAGTCACGTCCTATTTTTTTATATTAATGGTTAGAGACCATATTGACTTTTAAATGGTACAGTTTTGTACATACGCTAAACGCTAAAGGTAGTGGGAACTGAAAGTAGATGTTAAATGAAAATACATCCGTTTCCGTTTCGTTCTGTTCTGTTCTGTTGTTTCTGCCCGAGGTCGGCGAGGCAGGCAGAACACGCAAGACGCAAGACGCCGATCCATGGGGGCAGAGAACACGCAAGACGCAACGCCTAACCGCATCCTTTAACCATGTATAGTACTAGTTGCGCTTAAGAGGGTAGACGTACGATCGACTGCGTCTCGTTCGATCGCTCACCGGCCGCGCGTCGACTTGGGCTTCGCTCCGGTAATTAGTTGAAAAACCATTCGGCCGGCTGGTCACCGTACTTAATTTGCTGATCCATTAATTCTTTTTTACCTTTAATTTGGACGCAGATCGATGATGCCGGCCGTCGACTAGCCGCGCGCGGCCGGCCAGAAACCACCAGGCGCCAGCCAATTAACCCTGGTGAGGCTGGCTTCTCCCTCGAAACCATTGCATATTCATCGATCGCTAGCTCTTCTGTTCACCACAATAACGTATATTCCTCTTCAAGCCTAAACGCCGCCCGCCAAAAGCCCCTGTGCTGCTGCTGTGCCGCCATCTCACCGGATCTCGACGCCGTTGCTGGAGCTCCACGTACGAGCCTGGCTTCTCCGCCGAACCACGTGACGGGGTAAGCAGCAGGCTCATCCACCCTACTCCTCCCTCCCTTCCTTCCTTCCTTCTTACCCAGTTCGCGAGCTACCAAGAGGTAAAAGGTAAAACAATGTGAACGAAACCGTTGATATATCATAACTGATGGTATTGGAGTAATTATCTAATAAAACATGGGTATTTTGGGTTAATCAAATACCGAATTGTTCAGCATTATCTGGTAGAAAAAATTGTCAATCTTCCGAGGCTGTCTCCAATACATTTTTTATCGTTCGGTGGAGAAAAATGTAAATCTTCCCGTACATTTTGTTTCCCAAATAAATTTTATCATTTTCTAACATTTGAATGTATTTTTGTGTAGTTTTCATGCATCACAATTTTATCATTTTGTAATATTTGAATGTATTTTTTGGGTAGTTTTCATGCATCACAAGTCTAAAATTAAGTGGAAATGCGTGTTTGTATATATAAAGTAGCATATATACATGGCAGCTAAATTAGCCCCTAAATTTTAGCATGCGTACATGCATGCATGATGATTAAGTTAGAAACCATAATGGCCAAATTAGCCCCTAACTTTTAGCATGCTTAACTCCAGTCAACGCAAGTTAATTATTAGCTAGCAAGTTCAAATCTTTGGAACGAAGATGGGAGAATAGGATCTAACATTGTTTTTTCTTTTTATTACTGTAGAATTAAAGAGAAAACATCTTTTTAAAAAGAATTTCCTCAATAGTAGCGATTGCACTTTGATCAACACAATAATAAAAAAAGACACTTTTTTTTTGCGCCAAACAACATGGCTGCATGATAAAAACACAAATCCATTCCTTCTTCACTTACCATCGTATGTTGTACTTTGATCTTTATAAGACTTTGTATCTATGTTCATGTTCATTGGGGGGAGAATATGTAAATATAGCGTATTGACGATGAATTACATTTTAACCTGCAAACCAGTGATTTACCGAGGTTACATGTTCTTTGTGATAAAATATAAATCTTAAAATAACCGCGCAAACATTCAGACATATTTTATCCTATGGTATCATTAGGAACATAATATCAACCTTAAAAAAACTACAATCAAGTTCTTAGGGAGAAAATGTAAATCTAAAAGAATACGTAAATATCGTAACGGAGGATTACCGGCGATCATGTTCTTAGGAAAAGAGTGTAAATCTAAAAAGAGAACACGTAAATAAAGTATGGAAAATCATCGAACATATTGGAGATGAGGTACCCTTCTCTATCGCTTAGAAAAATTATTTTTTTACCCTTATTACCTAATTACATGTGTCGATATTAAATATCTTTTGAGTGATACTTTTATTATGTACAGTTAGATTTTAATTTTGATTTTAATTTTTTTAATGCAAACACCGTAAAATCTCTCTTATACCTAGTGTTTAAGCCTCTGTTAGCACAGTCGTTGTCGCTATGGCCGCCACCGTGCTCATCTGCCACTAGTACAATAATGATTTTTCCGTGTGGTCAGAATCGGTTTTCGCGTGCGGATCTTTCACATGTCTGGAACAAGGTGTCTGCGAAAATCCAATTTTTTCGTGCGAGTGATGCACCCGCACGGGAAAATAAAAAATCGAAACAAAATAAATCAAAAGCCGCTCTCGAACCCTAATCTAGCCTCTGTCACCACCGTCATCATCCTCGCGGTCGCCGGCGACGAATCCGGCCTCCTCGCGGTGGCAGGCGACGGATCCGGTCTCCCCGTGGTGGCTGGCGAGGCGGCGATGGTTCTGGCTTCCCCGCAGTCACCGGCGACGGATCCGGCCTCCCTGCGGTGGCAGGCGACGGATCCGGCCTCCCTGCGGTGGTTGGAGATGGATCCGCTCCGCCGCCACCACCCTAGCCACACTCGCTGATGTCGCCGCTGCCTCCGCCGCTCTAACCGATGCCGCCGCCTCCGCCGCCCTAGCCGAAGCCGCCGCCGTCGCCGGGATTGGGAGATTGGAGGAGGGGGAGGAGGAGGGGAGAGGGAGAGGGAGAGGGAGATGGGAGTGCGGGAGTGACGGATCTGAGAGGGAGAGTGTGTGGGACAGTGGGAGTGGGCGTCGCCGTCGATTAAAAGGGGGTGGGCTATTTTTGTGTGCGGGTCACTTAACAGGTCAGCACGCGCTGATCTTTCCGTGTGGTCATTTTAAAGAGCCGCACGTGAAAATGGAGCACGATTTTTGCAGACGCGAACACTTACGATCCGTCTGCAATCTAAAATTAGTCAGTGTGCTCTGCATTTCACCGGGGCAAATATCCTTTGCTCCGCTCAACGCTGGCGACCTCAAACCGCTGCCCCTCCACGTGTCTATAGAGGTCTTTTTTTTTATAGAGGATGTCTTTAGAGGTCTTAAACAAATGTCTTTTTATTTTTGTCTGAAAGGAATTAAAATGTTCGTTTACGCTTTCAGCCGTTATATAGGAAGCCGTCGTTTAGCTTATTTTAAGCATAAGCGAAACAGCATATTTTAAAAAAAATAATTTATGAATAAAATTTTTATATATGTGTTCTTAGCGATCTAAAAGCAAAGGCTGAAAAATAAACTTTGATGAAAAAACCTCAAAATCAACTTCAAATTTAAGGTTGAAAATTTAAATTTTGGCTGATAAGCATAAGCATAAACGAAAAGACGAGACTGATAGGGTTAACCTCCAAATGCATTAATAGGTTCCGCTTTCACTTGGGAGGACACGTAAATCATCTAGTATATGCCAACAGGGTTAAAGCCCTGTTTCTTGCAGCTTGGAATTATTATAATCCAGATTATTGGGAGTAAGCTGAAAGAAACAGACAACTTATTGAAGTAGCTTATTATAATCTGGAGCCCAGCTTATTATAATCTGATAAGCTTATTTAGGTAAGCTTTTTCCAGATTATTGGGTGAAAAATTACCCACCATGCCACCCCACTCCCTCTTTAGACTTTGCCCCAATAATCTAGGCTCTAATAATCTAGGAAAGAAACAACTAACCGCTTATTATACTACAGATTATAACAATCTAGTTTATAATAATCTGACTCAATAATTTAGATTATAATAATCCCAAACTGAAAGAAATAGGGCCTAAATAAACGTAAAATCTAATCGGCGCATGCGCGGCTGCTTTCACTGTAACTGTTACGAGGAAACCTACATGTAATAATTTTTCTATTTTTTAATTCATAAAAAATGATACTATTATTGAAGCTCACCAATCATTTTAAATTTCATGTTCTATGTGCTCATGTGTGGTGGCATTTTTATTTGGGTGCAAGACGGGACCATCACATAGGAAAAATGCGCCCTAACTGTTGCTAGTTAAAACTAATTAGTATACGCACGCGTCGGCCTATATAGTCGTGTCCTTAAATAAATCATAACCCAGTACACAGCTGAAAAATGAAGATCTCTTTTCCAAACGATATTTCTTAAAAATAATAAGCTTACCTCCTCTATACTCTAGTGGTGATACTAATCAATTTGCTCTTTTGCACTTTACAGCAAGGCAAACAGGTAGCTACTATTCAAGATGGCTGCCCAGCATGATATGGTGTCAAAGTTTGGTGCTGCTGCCATTGTGGTTATGCTCATGCTTGTCGTCCCTAACAGCGGCAGCGGCGAAGATGCAGGGCATGACAAGGATCAATTGGCTCCTATGTCAAGCGAAGCAGAATTTGGATTTTCTCTCCCAATTGTTCACGGGCGTCCACCGGCACCCGGTATGGATGACGAGAAGTTTGTGACTCCATTTAGAATTTATGAGGATGTTGTCTATCTTGCTGAAATGGAGATTGGTGAGCGGCAACAGAAGCAATACCTCCTGATCGACACAGGCAGCTCTTTGGTCTGGACACAGTGCGACGAATGCCCGCATTGTCACATTGGCGATGTGCCACCATATGGAAGATCCCAATCTCGAACATTCCAGGAAGTGAGCTGTGGTGATGATGATGACAATGATAAAGAAGAAGCAATTGCTAGTTACTGTCCAGCAAAACCGCCGGGATATATCACTTTGTGCGTCAATGGGAGGTGTATGTTCAAGGCGCTATATAATTTGACCGGGCAAGGCGAGACTGTTCAAGGATACATGTCAATGGATACATTTCACTTCATTGATGACAGGAGATTTGACTACCAAGCTAAGTTCCGGATGGTTTTTGGGTGTGCACACCAAGAGAATATCGTTCTTACAGCTGTCAAGGAATGCACTGGCATATTGGGATTAGGTATGGGCGATGCATCGTTTTTGAGGCAGACCGGAATAACTAAGTTCTCGTACTGTGTTCCACCTCGGATGCCAGGTTACTCATATAGGAGACACAGTTGGCTCCGTTTTGGCTCACATGCACAGATTTCGGGGAAGAAGGTTCCACTGGTGATGCGGTGGGGTAAGTACTATTTGCCGCTAACAGCCATCACTTACACATACAATGAGCTTATGTCTCCTGTGCCTATTATTGCCTATAAGAGCCAAGAAGACTATCTACACATGATGGTAGATACAGGAACCTCCTTGCTAAGTCTCCCGACCTCTTTGCACGATGATCTGATCAAAGAAATGGAGGCAATAATTAAGTCAGAAAATATTATGGAAGGGGCCACTAGATGGCCCAAGCACTGTTATAAACGCACCATGGATGAAGTCAAGGACATTACCGTCACACTTAGTTTTGATGGAGGTTTGGATATAGAACTCTTCACATCCGCACTCTTCATAAAAACAGAAACTACAAAAGGACCTGCTGTCTGCTTAGCGGTGAATCGTGTTGACGATTCGTCTAAGGCAATCCTAGGTATGTTTGCCCAGACCAACATCAATGTTGGGTATGACTTGCTAAGTCGTGAGATAGCCATGGATCCGATTCGTTGTGCCTGATAAAGTACGCAGCTTGTTAAATTGATTAGGAGCATGGCGTTATTGGACGCATTGATTCATGCGTGGTTGTTTTAGTTTATTGGTTATGTTACCAATTTGCATCTTCACGGCTGTCTTAGTTTACTATTGATGACTGCTGAAATGGACCTGCTACTTCGTTGAGTTCGTTTACTATTGGTAACTGTTGTAATGAACCTGCTATTTCATTTGAGTTAGTTTACTATTGGTAACTGTTGTAATGAACCTGCTACCTCATTTGAGTGCTGTAATGGACATGCTACTTCATTAAGTACTACAATATTATTTTTTATCTGTCTAGACTTGTCTACATTTATGTTCCACTCTACCGTAATTAACAATCACCACTTCTCCTTCGTCGTTTGTTTACATGCAGCAAGTAAATAAAATTCTGATTGTCTGCTACTCCTTCAATGAAAAATCTCAAAAATTTTGTGATTCTCTCAGGGCGACATTTTGGAAAAGACAATCCTTATAAACCCATTTCTTTGTAAGTACGTTGCTGTCAGATTACAATAGTGCATAAACCACCTTTCAGGATACAGGCTAAGGGAAAACTTATTTGAACCAAAAAAATCGAATGGCCTCAGTAGCCTAGTACAAATATATCTATATCACGCACACAACATACACATACTCGGGCTGTGCAGCCCACAGCATCTGAGAAGGAAATCCTTACAACTGCAACATTGGAAAAATTTTACTACGCATCCTTCGAATGCTTGGGCATATGTTCTTGATTCGGCAAAGGCGCTGTCAATTCAAAATAGTCATCAAACACGCTGTATCCAGACACGCTGTTGGAGCATGCTGCATGCGCTGAATGCTTGCAGTTGAGTTCCCAAATTGGGAAAAGGTTGTCTATACAAGAGCTTTAACTGCATCACAAAATATATGGTTTATTAAGCAAGTCGATAAGAACCCAAACTATCAGAATGGTCACAATCTAAGCTGTAAGTTCAGTAACCACGTTCCAACAAAAGATAGCTGGCAAATATTAGTTTTCTAGCCTTTCAAGCAAAGCTGACATCTTAACAGCTGACAGAATATGAGATTGTACTAGATGCAATGAAAAGTGAGAGATACTCACAATCTGTTCATGCACTCCTCTTTTTAGCAACTCTAACTTGGAGGATCAGATGGACATCTCGCTTGAATATGGACCTCAATTCTTCATTGGCTTCAATACCAATTCTCCTGAAACAGTTGTCACAAATGAGATAACGCATTAATAGTTTACCAATCATGCACAAGAATAACTGTCGGAACGAGATTGATTGGAGAAGTGAACTGCAAATGCACTCCATAAAAGGAACCACCATCTGCCAGGGTGACCAGTTTTTTCTTTTTTTAAGATGGTGGAGAGCAGTTTCTTCATAAGAGAATGTGTTACCCGATTTTGGAGCCATTTTTCCCAACAAGAATCTGTCGTTGGCTTTGCTTTGGTGCAATGAAGTGTTGTTCCACCCTAAGAGAACCATCTTTTAGCTCCTTCCAGTCCATCAGACGATGGTCAATTACATAAGGAATTTCCTGCATACATTTACCCGAACATACCATAGCAGACAATTCCATCAGAATCAAGAGAAAATTAACAATATGCCACTCCATAGAGGTGGCTTTAACAATATGCCACCCAATAGGATGTCCTTATAAAGATGCCACTCCATAGAGCATACCCCTAAATAAAATGCCACTTTTGGCTGTTTAGAGGTTTTGATTACTTTGTTTATATTATTTTATCAGACTCCTCACGCGAAATGACCGAAATGCCCCTTTCATATCGTTTAGATCCAGAGTCAGATTCTTTCTCTTCTCTCTCTCGATACTTCTCTCTCGGCCGGCCCGGGCATGCGGGGTTGTCGCCGCCGGTTCCACGCCGCCCCTCCGGTCACCCCCTCCCTGTTATGGTCACCCGTCCGTGCCCCCCACCAGGCGTCGGCGTGCACCCGGCCCAGCGTCGCCTCCCCGCCGCCCCCCTCTGCTAGGTACAAGTCGCTGCCCCCCCCCCCCTCTCACCACCTCGCCGCCCTCCCTTCCCCCACTCCCGCCGCCCCGCCGCTCCCCCTGGTAGGTAGAAGTCGCCGCCCTCCCTTCCCCCACTCCCGCCGCTCCTCTGCCTCCAATGTAACCTCGGCCTCTTTCTCCTCTCAGACAGTAAATAGAAGGTTGACAACATGAGCTCGAAGGATTTGTCCTCGAGGTAAAATCTTTCATATCGCTGTACATTTTATATTTTCATCGAGTTAGATTTCTAACTCGCTTTTTTCTCTTGTCGATTCAAATCGTTTAGGTTGGATTCAGAACTGTCTAGAGTAGAGATGCAGTTGGTTGAATATGGGACAAGTTCCATTTCAGCAGTTTCAGTTCTAGCTTCAGAATGTCTAGATAGTTGTACAAGTGTGCCTTTATGCCTTGAGTATGGGGTGATTTCAGAACCAGCAGCTCCAACTGTTGGTGTAGAACAGCAACCTTTTCAGTATGTTGATTGGGATAACTTGGAGATAGATGAAACGTTAGATGATGAGGGAAGGATTCAGGTCATGAATGATGACCAATTATACGTACTCCTAGGCTTGAGGGATGAGGAAAGGGCAAAAAAATCGGCGCATGCTGCTGGAGCGAATGGTTCAAGTAATGCTGCTGGAGCTGATGATTCAAGTAATGCTGCTGAAGCTGCTGGAGTCACTGACGGCATCGAGGGTGCAGCAATTCCTGTTGATGATTCAGTACCGGGTGAGCTTGTTATAAGCTATGACAAGAATAACCCTTGTATGGATCGATACACTAAGTACCCCTCAATGAAGGAATTCAGATTGGCTGTAAGACAGTTTGCTATCAAGAAGGAATTTGAGCTAGGCAAAGTGAAAACTGACCCGGAGAGGTATAGGGTAAAATGCGCTATTGAAGGATGTGCATGGAGTCTTGTTGGGCGTAGGCAGAATGATAAAACTATAATGGTACTAACCCAAAACATAATTTTTTTGACATTACTTCTAGCGTGCCTAGAATTGTTTGCATGGTTTTAATGGATTACCTTTCATTGCTATTGCAGGTCACAGTTCATAACAAAGACCATACTTGTACATCTAGCATGAGGATAAGAACTACTACACCGTCACAAGGTTGGGTTGCTGATAGGGCTGTTGATATCCTTAAGACTACACCAAACATGTCTTGCATAGACTTGATGAAAAGGTTGCAGGATGATCACAAGGTAACTCTCTCTTACCATACAGTTTGGCATGGAATGGAGAAAGCAAAGAAAGAATTGTATGGATGTTGGGAGGAAAGTTTTCAATTGTTGTATAGTTGGAAGGAAGAGGTCCTTAAGAGATCACCTGGAAGTGTTATAGAAATTGACATCAAGATAGTTGATGGGAGGGCATACTTTCATAGGTTTTTTGCTGCATTTAGTCCTTGCATCAAGGGGTTTGTGGCTGGTTGTAGACCATACCTTAGTGTAGATGCTACCCATTTAAATGGCAAGTGGCATGGTTTTTTGCCATCAGCTACAGCAATAGATGGGCATAATTGAATGTATCCAGTTGCATTTGGGTTTATAGACTCCGAGACCGAGGACAACTGGGTTTGGTTCATGACTCAGCTTCATAGGGCAATAGGAGACCTAGAACCTCTTGCTATTTGTTCAGATGCATGTAAGGGGTTAGAGAATGCAGTCAATAAGGTGTTCCCTGCTGCTGAACGAAGGGAATGTTTTTGGCATCTTACGCAAAAATTTTCTAAGAAGTTCCATGGTGAGACTTTTGGTAATATGTACCCTGCAGCAAGAGCCTATAGGGAAGAGGTGTTCCAGAAGCACATGTTCCCTATTATTAATGGAACTCCTGAAGTTTGGAAATATTTGACAATATATCATAACCTAAAGTGGATGAGGTGTGGCTTCAACCCCGCAATTAAGTGTGATTATATTACAAATAATATTGCAGAGGTTTTCAATGCATGGATTTCTGATATCAAGGATTTGCCAATTGTTGACCTAGTTGACAAGCTTAGAGAGAAGGTGATGGTTCTATGGGATAAGAGAAGGAGAATTGGAGAAAGGCTTAATGGTAAGATTCTACCAGCTGTAATGCACCAATTGAAGGCAAGAACAAGAGGATTAGGCCACTTGAAAGTTATCACAGCTAGCTTACATACTGCAGAGGTGCATGACTATGTCAAAGAATTTGGAAGACACGTTGTTTCAATAGTGGCAAACACATGCACATGTGAGGAGTGGCAACACACCGGGCAGCCCTGTGGGCATCCATTGGCCTTTTTAACAACTCAGAGAAATGTTGACTTGGAAGGGTATGTTGATATGGTTTACTCAGTGGAGAAATTCAGGGCTGCATATGAGAGAGATACCGGCAATGCCAGACAAGTCACATTGGCCAAAGGTGAAAATGCCTTTCGATTTGGGCGCACCACTAGAGAAGAGGAGTGTTGGGAGACAGGAAATTGAGGATCAAAGGATGCCTTGAGACTGGTAGCAAGAGTAGTGCAAAGAGTGATGGCAAGAACAAGAAAATCATAAGAGGTCCAGTTACATGCAAAAGATGTGGTGAGAAAGGTCATAGGCAAGCTAGCTATAAGTGCCCACTGAATGGTACAAAAAAAAGGTATTAATATTTCTGTTTTTTTCACTTTACATCCTTTTAAATTTGTGGTACTTCATCCTATATGTATAAATATATGCAGGAAAAGGAAGCCTAGGAAAAACAACAAAAAGAACCTTCCACCTGAACCTTCCACACCACAAAGAACAACCAATGAAGCTACAATAATGCAAGAAAGCCCGGGAATGGTTACAAGGAGGTAAGTTGATGGTCAAATGACAAGTTAGAATTATTCTCCTTGCTGTGCATGCTTCAAATCAATTGTGTGTGTAACTTGGCTTTTGGGTATACATGCATAGGCGACTTGCAATGCTTTTGGGAGTGACCAGTACTTCTGGAGTGGAAGGGGCTAGAGAGCCGAGAGAGATGGCTAGTACTTCTGCAGGACCATCCAAGAAAAAATGACTCCCAAGAAAATGAAGTCAACCTAATGTATTTTAGTTGTCAAATGTGAACTACTGTAATGTATTTGTCAAGCTACTGAACTACTGAATTTGTTAGGCTTGTGAACTGTATTTCTTTTGGGTCTCTTTGATGCTTCATGTAACCAATATGCTATGTGCTATGTGCTGGAATGCTATGTGCTATGTGCTGCAATACTATGCCTATATGTGCTGCTGGAGACCTCTGTGCTGCTGTGTGCTTGCTGCAATTTATTTGTTTATGTGCTGCAAATGCTTCACTGTTGTGTGCGCTGCAATTTGAGGGAGCACAGATCGTGCTATGGTGTATGGGCTGCAAATGCTATACTGATGTGTGCTGCAAATGCTTTACTATTGTGTGCTAAATGCACAATTTATTTGTATGGTGGACTTCTGTGTGCTAAACGAGGTGGTAACTGATTTGCAATTTATGCTGTGTGGTAGTAACTGATTTGTATTTGATGCTGCTGTAATTTGAGGGAGAAATCTGACCCGAACATTGCAAAAAGGAGCTAGGGGTACTTTTGTCATTTCGCGTGTCATTTCTGTCAAAAAACCTCTAAACAGATTAAGGGGTATGCTCTATGGAGTGGCATCTTTATAAGGACATCCAATAGGGTGGCATATTGTTAATTTTCTCTCAGAATCAAATAGTACCAATTACACAGTAGCAATATGTCCAAGAATTAGGCCCTGTTCTATACTCCAACTATAAACTTCAACTTCCTCATTTTCCGTTAGCACGCTTCCCAAACTACTAAACGGTGTATTTCTTACAAAAAATTTCTATATAGAAGTTGTTTAAAAAATCAAATAAATCAATTTTTCAAGTTTACAATAATTAATATTTAATTAATCATGTGCTAATGAGTTTTCTCGTTTTGCGTGCACTGGAAATATTTTTCCCTGGGCATGAAACAAACGAAGCCTTACTTGGTGGATGTGATCCAGCATCTTCTCCCGCACAACCTCCAATGAGATGGTTTTCATGACCTCTTCAGTCATTGTAGTTGGTTCCTCATCCCAAGGTCTTCTCACTGCCTACATAGCACATAGACGTGATTTAAATATTGATCAAAAGAAACCAAGTTCGACGTCACAGCACGCAACAGAGATAACATCCATTGAATAGTTTATAAACTAAAATACCTGTTCCATCAAGAACTGTACAAGGTCTTTGACCCCTTTGCCTTTTAGTCCAGATACCATGAAGTACCTAACATTCCAAGAAATTGTTTTATGAGGCAGATGAAATGGTAGGAAGGCAATGCAAGTACACCTGCAGACTAAGGGGAACCTTTCATATGCAGGAAGATCTTCAAATTCCTTTGCAACTTTAAGCAAGTCTTTTTTGTCTTCCACAAGGTCGACCTTATTCATGCATAATATACGCTTCTGATTTGGGTTTACCTCAGCACCCAACCGTTTGATTAACTTGACAACTCGCGTGTCAGGGCTGCATACACGAAGAAATTGATTAGAGGTGTGCTTATCATGGTCTCTACATAAAATAAGAACTGCATTTCATTGATTGACAGACAATACTGAGGAAAGGAAGGATAAAAATAAATATTTGCCAAGGCTTACGTTTTAAGATGCCTGTTGACATCAAACAAGACTATTAATAAATCATAAAGGTTAATTGAGCTCCAGGCACTCTCTACACGAACAGTGACATCCCTATGAGGTAATCCATGGTGGCCTAACATGAGCCCTGGGGTGTCAAAAAAGCACTGCAGTGCAGAGAATATTATCAGTGAAAACAACTAAAAGTTAATTAAAGAAAAAATTGTAGATGACACCCATAGGCACCAATTTTTGTAGCAGCTCCTTAATTACGAGCTATGCATTTGACATTTTTTACAGACAAACCCAATCAGCACAGTTTTTTAATACGAAGTCCATTACTTTGAATTATATATCTATGAGATAGATACAATCAGGCCATGGGGCACAATGTGCTTGCACTGACTGATTTGAACATCTCTCTTAATGTAATCAGTAATGGTAGAAATAAATCACAATGTACTCTGTTTTATGATATGTAATATATTCATCATTGTCCAGAATTCAGTATTTGCAAATGAAATACAGACAAGCATCGTTAGACAGGATTTTTAGAAATCCATAACGGTACCATCAAAAATTGAAAATATGAATTCACTTCATACTAGCACAAGCAGATATTGGTAACAGAACATACTATTTGAGTTATCCCTTTTGTCAGCACGCCCAAAATTTCATGAGTTGTAGTATTTGTCTTGCGGGACACTGCAGCCACTTTTGTTCCAACCTGTAGCAAAAATATAAATATGGAACATTAGGCTCCACTACAACCAGTTCTCCTCCCTTTTTTTGTTAAGAAATGGCAGGGTTGCCATTTGATTTAGTTAATGAGGAAAGGTTCCAAAATTATAAGGAAAAAGACCAGGGCCTAAACAAAAGGCATAGTTTACATTTGTCGTCTTTGCCACTATTAACTATTTAGTCTCTACAAATGATGCTAAGCCAGACGCATACAACAGCCAGCTGGTAAGTCTACCTGCTTACTAAACTATACTTAACCCAAAGAAGCCATTATATCAACAGAATTCCAAAAAATGAACTCCAATCAGACCCAGAAAATGGTATACTCTATATTTATTGATGTTTAGGTATTGTAGTAATAAAAACCCAAATCTGCAATTGGGCAACTGCACAATTCTGTTAAATTTTTCATACAGAACAGGATACCATTGAGGCAACGATTTGCAACAACTCATGGCCATGCCCAGACCTTCTGAAATAATTCAACATCAAGCTAGAGGAACATTGGTGGTCTCAGGGAACATAATCGAAATTCCTTATTATTTAAGCCTCACTGGAAACAGTCCCAAAAAAATGGTTCAGGATGTAATAACTAGCGTAGGTAATCTTAACCTAGGCAGGCTAGCTTACACAGTTATTTCTGTCTCTGACAACACACAGGTTAGCTTTTCCAGTTTTTTTTGTCTCTGACAACACAACTAGTTGACCTAAACTACAGCTTGATTAGATCAGGAGCATCTGTATTTGTAGTGCAGAATGGTCGTTCCTGTTGTATGTTGATTAATCTAAACATAAGTTTAGCAAAGTTAGAATTTTTCACCTGGATAAATTAGCCAAATAACCATGGTTGCAGAGATCAGTGAGAGAATGTGAGTTTAAGAAGGATGTCTAGAAATTAACAACACTAAGTTACAAAAGCAACACAATTTCTGTAAGCATTTTAGCAAACATCCATGATACAAACAAATATAGGGTGCTCTAAGGAATGCTACAACAAAATAACCATTTCCATGTCACAAAATTTTCAATGCTGTGACATGAAAATACGTACCATGGTGTTTGTTAAACCTACAAAGAAATATAGGATTATACTATGATCACTGTAAAGTGTCAAAACACACAACTGCACTTCAAACTCCTAATGCTCCTCTAAGAAATGTTACAACGAGCTAAACCAAACCATTTCCATGTCACAAGATTTTTGTTCTTTCAATGCGTGAACACACGTACCATGGTGTTTGTGAGCGAGGACTTGCCGGCGTTGGGGGCGCCGACGATGCCGACGGACAGCGACATCTGGTCCTCCTCCCTGACCTCGCCAGGGCCCAAGTCGTCGTCGGGCGGCTCGAGCGCGGCCTCGAGCAGGGCCAGCGCAACCTCCCGCGACCGCTCCTCCTCCACCGCATCGTCCACCCCACCCCTCTCCTTCCCGAACAGCGCCTCGTCGGCGCGCGCGCGGAGGGAGGGGTCGAACCGGAGCTTCCGGAGCGCGGAGACCGGGTTGCGCGCCTGCTGCGGCGGCGGCGGCGGCGTCGGCCCCGAGGGCGGCAGCGCGAACTCCGAGCTGTCGAAGTCGGCGTCCGGGGCGGCGGCGGAGTCGGAGTCCGATGAGGAGGCGGCGGCGGAGGCGGAGGAAGAGGAGGCCGAGGCGGTGGAGAGGACGCGGAGCGCCGTCGGGATGGGGCTGAGGGTTAGGGTGCGGAGCGGGCGGAGGGCCCCGACGAAGCGGCGCATGGCGGCGACAAGCCGCGGCCGGCGGCGGCGGCGGCGGAGGGTTTAAGGCGGGGGGGGGGTATTTTGGGGAGAGAAATGCGGAGAGGGAGGAAGCGAGGAGGTTTGCAGGCGTGTGAAAGGGGGAGGAGGCCTTTTTGGGCCGTCCGGCCCTCCAAGTTGGCCCGGTTGGTCTGTTGACTAGTATGGGCCCATGAATGGTTGCCTCTACATGTACATGTACTAGTAGCTTGTTGGTTTTCAAGAACACAAAAGGCACACCCTATTTCGTGGATGTGACTCCTTTGTAATAACGAACAAATTTGACATATATTTTTGGATGGATAAATTGAAGTCATTTATATGAAAATCATACAAATTATTGCGTTCCATATCTGGAGTAGTCATTTATATTTGTCGACAAATTTTCTCCTAGAAATTTGACAGATGTAATTATAGTACAAGCGTGATGTAATTTATATATAACTTGTATGTAACTTTCAAAAATCTCTAACTAAGATGCTATTTCGGTGAAATGGAGGTCGTGGGAACGAATCATCTCATATATGTGCGCGAAATGACTTTTTTCCTTCACTTGCACAAATATTGAAACAATTTAATGGTTCAAAATTATGGGCAAGTTACATTGTAGTTACATTCAAGTTACAGTGTAATTACACTACGATTGTACTATAATTACATTTGTTAAATTTTTAGAAGAAAATTTGTCGACAAATATATAGCAAAATTGTTTAGTCCCAACAAAATTATATCAGTTTTAGATTTGGAGCCCTGCCAAAAACCTCCTAAATGTCCATAAGTTAGTATCCGTGTTCACCAATTGTAGGAGTACACTGTGAAAAAACCGCGTGAACGATTTTTCCTTGTATCTTTCAGTAGATCATGTTCATGCACCGCCGAGGATACCTATGCGTGTGTGGTAGTGTGTGTTCGTTTCCGCATCCTCCTGTACAAGAGAGGAAAAGAAAACAGAGAAGCATCCTGTTCTGTCCTGCAACCCATTGGACGGTGCAGGGCCGCAGGGGCCTCATGCCATGGTTGCGTTCTCCTCATGCTTTCGTTCTCTGCATCTTTGCCTTTTGATCTCAGCATGGTCCAGTTTAATCCCTTTTGCATATATTCTCTGCCAGTTAAACAATTCTGCAGGGAAGAACAACGCGGCAAATCAAAAGAATGTTTCTGTTACTTCAGCATTGTTCTGTTTAAAACAGAGAATCAAATCAAACCATACATTCAGTGGCAACAGTTTAAACTATCAGTGTCAGGTTTCAGAGGTTTCTGGAATAAAATTCAGGTTTCAGGTGAGCCACACAAGCGGTATATATTTCTGAAACAAATTGCAGATTTCATCAGGAATAAGAAGCTACAGTTTTGCATTTCTGAAAGACTAGAGAAAAAGGAGACAACGCTGGGGATTATTTGATTCTTCACTGAACAAGTGAACAAACTTCACAGAGCTCTTGTCATACAAAAAGGATTTACCCTAGCTGAGAATCTGTACATTGACATTGACTCCAAAAGGAGGTCATCATTTTTATACAAAGCTTTTGGACTTGAAGAGAAAATCTGTTCAAGGACCACTACCTCGACTAACCCATTTGATTCTTGTTCACTTCATTTGGTGCTATACTGGTGGAAGCACACCATTTGCCCAAGAATCAGATTTGTCCTGAACTTTTGACTTGTGTACTCATGTCAGTAAACTCTAAACTTTCGGTCGTATTCAGGCCATCTTTTTCTCCAATTCTGGTTGATGGAGATTCTACAAAAGCTGGTTGCAGTAATGCTATGACAACATCAAACCCTGTCAGCTACAAACTAAGCTCAGGGTGTCTTTTTCAGAGACAATATTCAAAAATTTGCAGCTCTTGGTTGCTCTGAAGATCTCATGCCCATATGGCAAGCAGAGACATCATCCCAGCGCCGAGGAAGAGGGCGAGGTATACTGCCAGCTGAAGCTTTGTGTTTGTTTGAAGCTTCGGATTGTTGAAATCTGCAGCGAGGAGATCGACCAGGGACATGTAGATCAGTATCCCTGCTGCAGCAGAGTTGAAGACTCCCTCGACGACAAGTGCGGTCGAGCTGTGCTTGCTATAGCTGGATGAGATTGCGATCCCCAGTGCAATGCCCACCGGAGCAGTGAGGGAGAAGAAAGTCGCCATGATCACTGTTGCTTTCGCCTTAAAATTTGCCTGTGTAAGAAAATGTGACACAAAGTATGTCAAATTATTGTCTCATACGAGAAACTTTAAAGTCTGTCCCTTTTTCATTTTTATGGAAAGTAGCTTATGGTGGAATGGATTTTCACCTAATTGAATGAACTAAAGTAAACTGCTGAAATTGTGGTTCTTCTCAGACATAGTAATATCTGCGTGGATATTGATCAGCACTGGATAGTGGATACAGTATACTGATAACAATTGAAAATGGTTGAGAATCCTGGCCAGTGTTACATGACAAACCAGTCTCAACCCATTTCTGAAAACGCGGTATTTTTAGGTATATGCTAAATCTGAAGTCCAGTTTTAAAAGCATCTGGGAAAACAGAAGGGCAAAAAATGACGCAGCAATTCCTGTTTGTGTATCCTGAAAAAAAAAACTGGCATTGAGAAGCTGGGAGCTTGTTTGAGCTTGTCAGTTAGTGAAGGATTTCTGAACCATAGTGGAACGGAATCAATTATTGATGGTCCTACTTCAAGTTTGCTTTGTACAGTATAGTCGTGTAGCTAGTGATAAGTTCTATCATTTGAGCTATAAATATCTCTGTCTATACTCTATATGTCGTTTTTCGCACGCTTTTGCTAATGGAGCATGCCCTTCTGTTTCTGTCATGAGCCCAGGTGCCTTTTACCTGATTTTCACGTGTAGATATTTTATCAATTTGCCATGTAACAATGTAGGTAAACAAGCGCACAGCTATAGTTTCAACCCTTCTATGTCGAATTGTCGATTATCTTATACCGCGGTATGAATGTAATGTGAGATGTTCATGTTAATCATGGCTGTAAAATGTTATTGTGATATACCTGAACAATGCAGCCACCAAGGCCAATGCCTTCAAAGAACTGGTGGAAGCTGAGGGCTCCGACGAGTGGCCTGATTGACGACGGCCTCAGTGATGCGCCTAGCGAAACCCCGATGATCACCGAGTGCACCAGGATTCCCAGCTCCAGAACCTGCACAATCACAATTCTTTTGTCAGTTATTCTTCGAAAAGTAGCACCAAAGCTTGGTTCATTCAGACATTACAACATTTGCAATGTTGGGTGCAGAATCTGCAAAGGGGGTTCAGTTGTGAGGCTGAGCAGAGAAGATTTATCCCCAATTGCAGAGTGGGCAGACACCTCAGATAGTTACAATACAAAGGATTGATCTTCTTGTCAGTATTTGAATTATCTCTTACAAAAGAGAAAGAGACATGCCTTTCTCCCATCAAAATCAGCTAATTTGTGTAGTGTAGAATACCACTATGCATCTCTATCTATGTTCCCTTGTGATTGTTGCATAAAGGAGAGGGACATTTGAAATGGATGGTGGCAAAGTAAAGCAATTGGTAGTACACTAGTACCAGTCATCTTTATAAAGTATCCCAAATTGGAACTTTCATTTGAACCGCCCAAATTTTTTATTTTTGATTTTTACTGTATTTTGTTTTGTGATGTGCGTAACGAGATTGAGCTTGACGGTTGGTGATGAGCTCACCTGGGAGACAACCCTGTGCCGGATTGTTTCGGCGACGGAGGCATCCTCCGGCGAGGTGGCGGCCGCCGGCGCGCTGCCGTGGCTGTGGCCGTGGCCGTGGCCGTGCGAGTGCACGTGGCCATGGGCGTGGCCGTGCGTGGCGTGCGTGTGCACGTGGACGTGGCCGGCGTGCTCGGCGCCGCCCTCCTCGACCCCGGCGGCGCGCGCGGCGTCGGCGGGGTCGTCGACGGGGCGCGGCTTCTTGAAGTGGGACCGGCGGTAGTACCCGGCGGCGACGGAGTCGATCATCATGGTGGCCATGGCCGCGGCCATGGCGACGAGCCCGGCGAACGGGAACCCGCCTCCGCCGCCCCTGCCTCCGCCGCACGGCGAAGCGAGCGCGTCGAACGCGGCGGGGAGGATGTGCACCATGCCGGTGGCGAGGATGACGCCCGCCGCGAACGCCTTGACGGCGAAGAACACGTCGCCGTCGGGCCGGAGCGCGGCGAACGACCTCCCCAGCACGGGCACCAGCACCCCCGCCGCGCCCGCCGCCAGGATGGACGCGATGGCGACGAGCTTGAGCCGCAACGCCCCGCGCGCGTCCTCCCCCGCCACCGCCGCCGCCGCCGCATTACCGCACTCGCACCCGGCCACCGCCGCCGCCGTCGCCGCGCCCGGCGGCGCCACGGCCAGCATCAGCACGGCGCACAGGAGCAGCATGGCCCGCGGCGTGCTCTGCCTCATGGCGTCCATGGCGCGCGTGCGGGTGGCGTGTGGGGAGGAGGGGGAGGGAGGCGGCGCGGGGCGCGCGGGCGTTTTATAGGTGGCGCGCGCGCGCGCGGCATCGCGGGTGTGCCATCGTGTGCTCATCTTTTTGTCGCCTCCACTGCTTCGCTGCTTTAAATTTGGGGGAATTTAACTATTTGCCACTTTTAGATTTGGCAATTATTCAAATACCTCTCTTAAGTTTGCGCTTAATAATTTACCATTGGAAAGAGATGATTTCTTAACTATTTGCCATTTTTACCTACGTGGCGTGCCATCGTGGCATGCCTAAGAGGAAAACAACATGGACCCCACCCGTCAGCCCCTCCCCTCTCCTTCTCCTTCTTCGGCCATCACAGCCTCCTCCTCCAGATCTTGGCGGTGGAATCAGGCCAGCGACGCGGCGGCATCGGGGCATCGGAGACGGACCTCGCGTAGGGATTAAAAAAAAAGAAAAGGAGAAAAAGGTGAGACCAACCCGACGATGGCCACGGCTTCGGCAAGACCACCCTGCGTCAGTGTTGAGGTTCAGCTGGTGGTGTTGAGGTCGACGGCGGTGTCGATGTTAACCTCTCCTGTGCCTTCGCTGGCGCTGAGCTAACGCGAGGCCGCCCTGCGCGCCGCCGCAACAAGGGAGGACGCGGCGACAAGGACAAACACTAGGACAACGCAGCGCACCGTCGCCGCCATGGATCGGGTCCTTGCTCACCTCGCCAAAAGTTGCTCTTCCTCGTGCACCTCCTCGCCGTCGAGAGCTATGCGAGATCCACCTCCGACAGCGCCGATGCCAGCCTGCTTCCGCTGCCAAGATCTGGAGGAGGATGAGGCTTGATGGCCAGAGGAGTAGCAGAATGAGGGGGAAGGGGCTAACGGGTGGGGTCAACGTTGTTTTCCACGTGGGCACGCCACGATGGCATGTCACGTAGACAAAAGTGACAAATAGTTAAGAAATCATCTCTTGCCAGTGGTAAATTATTAAGCGTGAATCAAATAGGGGCATTTGGATAATTACAAAATCTAAAAGTGGCAAATAGTTAAATTCCCCTTAAATTTGGGCTTCTGCTGCTTGCATCCTCTGCCGCTAGTGGTGCAACTGGACCGTATGCGGTGGTGGATCTCAGCCGTCAGATGCTGCATTGACGGTTGGATTGAGCAGCGGCGGAGCCACTCCCCTTGCGGGTCGGGCTCCGCCTCTACCGTTTCCTCCATCCATCAACAATTTATAAAAATTAGTTGATCATCTGAAAATGCTAGTAGTGGCTCGGGCTTAACAATGTTGCTCGCTTCGCTGCTGCTAGGATTGAGTGACAAAGTGGATGTTCCGTCCTCCTGTGGTCACTGGTCACGAACGGTGAGAAGTTCAGTGTGTGGTTACTCATAGTACTGAGTTGTTGTATACATGCACTGGCTAGTTTTAAAAATATTTAAACTGAAATTTATTCGGTTATTATGATACATAAGTTACATGCACGAGCTAATTCGCTTGAAGATATTGAGTTACGGAGAAAAATAAAATCTATTACTCTTACTAGCTCTGCCAAACAGGCTTTTAGTAGGAAGTACAGTGGCATCGTGTTTGATGCAGAGCAGCAGAGGTCGAGCTTCCAAAAGACAGAAAAAAATTCAAGTGAATAAAATTGAAATTTCTGATTTGATCTATAAAATGTGGAGTAGTAGATACGACCTTTCAATTCGGGAAACATCAAATTAAAATTGCTAAGTTTGGAGCATTCGCATCTACAATCTTTTTACCTTTCATCATTGAGACACGAATCAACTATAGCAATTCCGATGTAGACGGCCAAGCCACAACAAACAAGAACACGCTCTAATTCATTGGGGGCGATAGTGATTAGTCAAGGTTGTTTCAACGATTACGATGTGAAACTTTGAAAGAGAAACCCCATTTGTTATCGCACACACCATACTCAAAATAGTACTCTCTCCATATTTTAATGTATGACGCCGTTGACTTTTTTACAACGTTTGACCATTCGTCTTATTAAAAAAAATTATGCAATTATCACTTTATTTTATTGTGACTTGATTCATTATCAAATGTTTTTTAAACATGACATAAATATTTTCATATTTTACAAAAATTTTGAATAAAACGAATGGTCAAACGTTGATCAAAAAGTCAACAGCGTCATACATTAAAATACGGAAAGAGTACAAGGTTTGTTTCAACGATTACGATGGACTACGGATGCAGTGCCATGATCGATAAGACCACTATATAAGAGAAAAAAATAGACGATTAACGATTAAAATGTAAGAGAAAAAAATAGAATACCATCCTATAATAGACGATTAACGATACGATAAGACCACTATATATAATTAGGCCCATATCGATCGAATAAAGCCGAAAACAAAAGTTATTGATCACACGAAGCCGAAAACAAGATGTCAACCAAATGAATCCGAAAACAAGAGTAACACAAAGATACCTTCCTGGTGATCAGGAGAACGACAAAGAGATACCTTGAGAATGAGAAAGACCAAAAGGATAAACTGAAATGTTGCCAAAGCAGCAAATCCTACCTAGCAATTAGCAAGATCGGTTGGGTTTTGCCAGATGTGCATTGGCCAGAAGGGAACGGAATGGCTTTGCTGGCTAGTAGTGAACTCCTACGCCGGAAGATATAAACCGAGTATATATTTGCTACCTCTATCTTAAAATATAAACACTTTTAAAGTTAGACACATGTATTAAGAAAACAGATTTAATTAAATAGATAAATAGGGTGTGTGGTTATAATTTGTTAAGAAGATAATATAGAAAATAATTTATATGAATTGAATGTAATTTAACTGGTTAGGTTTCTTATGGTGGAATCAGTGTACTTGGGTTTAATTTCTAGATTTAACACGGTGTTTATATTTACGACTAATTTTTCTTTCAGTGGTAGGTTTCAAATTCTATATTTGGTACGGGTGCTCGCATTTACGGCTAATTATTCTTTTAGTGATGAGCGACGTATCCATCGACAGCGAAATACCCGTGATGATTTTATCAATCTCAAAAAAAATATCGGCTCGGTCTTCGACCCTTTTTACCGAAGGTGTTTATAGGCCCTGTTTAGATCCTCCAAAACGTTTTGCCATTTTGTAGCACTTTTTGCCATTTTGGATCTAAACACTAGTAGCAAAAGTTGGCAATTTGGCATTTGACATTTGCTAGTCCATAGTAGCAAATTGTGCCAAAAAATGTTTTGGGACCACTACCTCTCTCTTTCTCTCTGTCACTTTAGTGCTAGAATGGCAAAACTTTAACATACATCTAAATACCAACTAGTACTTTTGCAATGCCAAAACTTTTACCACCAAAACTTTTGCCATTTGCTATTTGCCATTTCAAATAGATCTAAACAGACCCATAGTTGTAAGGCGTGCGTGTGTACGTTTCTACAGTTTATCATATTGTAAACACGGAAAACTAGTGACATATGCCGTCACCTTTTTTTTTTTTGGGCTGAGCTAGAGAGAGCTCTGTCGAGTAGGCGTGTTGACACCATGTTGCCATCCTCTCCTGCACCATGATGTGGTCATCATTGCCGCTCGTGGCTCGCTGACGCCCCGGGCCCACGTCTGGGTTCGCCTTTCTGCCTGCCTGTTGGCTGTTGCGACCGGCCACCTGGGGCTCTTCCCTCTTCAGTTTGGGCAGCCAGTGACGCGTGTAACTGCCTGCTGGTTTTAGTGAGAGTTAGGTACACCAACGTGGTGGTTGTTGGCTACTGCTGCTGCCAGAGGCAAGGGAGCATGCATGTCATGTTTGGCCTAAGCTCTTTAGCTTCCAATGGTCAATGATGTGTTTGTATTTATATATAGTGAATATTTGGTCTGGCTATAGGGCCCTGTTTTTGAGTCATTTCTGTTCTTTTTTCTGAATTAATTTAATTAGAGGCTTCTTTTCAATTTGTTACAGGTCTTGACTTTTAGGCTGCTAACAGCAAAATTGTAGAAGTCTTATTCAAAAAATCGCCACCTCCTTCTCTAAATGTTGACACTAGTTAATTCAAATTTAAGCTAACCAATGTTAAAAAAAATAGAGATAATGGAGGGAGTACCTTTATTATGTCAGTTATGTGTCTTTGGCTTTTAAGCCGTCGAAAAAATTTTCTTCTAAACGTGTTCTTAATTTATGTATGCATGTGCAGCTAATAATCGGTACAACCTATACGGTAAGTTATTGGAAAAGCATGCACCAAAACTATTAAGTACACGCATAACTTAATTTATGAGAGCTTAGATATTAGTGTCTAACTACATGCACATTTTTATAGAAACTATTTATTTTCTGAGTTTATCCTTTGGGGTTTCTTTGACATTGGACGTACACGTATTCACAATTATATGCGTGTCGTGTACATATATATATAAGTAATGAGATATATGTCTATGTAAGAAAAATGAGCATTAATTCCTGCAAATATTTTTGATCGCGTTATATATCCAATAATATTGACTGAAAGTAGTGAAAAATAAACAAGATGGCGTTGGGACTTCGCTTGCATCGTAAGTGCTTGGCTGACTAACAACAACTAATTAAACTCTACGAGCTGACATGGTTTGTCCTCGCTGAAGAGGTTTTACCTAATTAATCAGCTGTTGTTTTTGGAACAACATGACCCTTGTTTGCAACAATAATTGCCATGGCGCTACTATATATATGTCATCTTCCAACTTGTTTGGAAGTTGGGATGGTACAGTACTAAAATAACTAATATGATTTCACCTATCCACTGAAATTAAAATATATATGTGGGTGGATAATTTCAAGACCTTTAATTTGTTTGGATTTGGATTCCCCTAATATCGATTAATTTCAATCCATACGTACCGTGCTATACTAGCTGTGCTTAACTAGGAGTATAATATTAATATTCTCTCAACTTGGTTGGACCAAATGGCAACCATCCGAAATAGAATATGCATAAAGGTATTATGACGACATCCGACAAAGTTATTTTCAACTAGCTGAATGAGCAAGACACGCTTTCGTGAACTTAAAGATATTTATTACCCGGGTAAATTAACTTGTTTGGATTACTAACAAATAATCGAAACTTTGTATATATCATAGAAAAATATGGAAAAAAATTATATTAGGGGAAGCTAAATTGAACAGGGTTTTGCCTCTCCTAAATTCATCATTGTCCGCACGTTTGTCAAATGCTAGATGGGAAAAAGGCACGCCCATCTCCTCTCTCAATTAAAGTAAGTTTAATTAGTTCTAAAAAAATTAAAGTAATTAAGTTTGAGACAGTGATGAATCCCGTATGTAAATTGAGCGAGTGCTCTAGACTAAACAAAATAGAGATATATCACCTTAATATTTTTATATGAGACCTAAATACACATACGATCAAAAGAAAATACATTGCTTTCTCTATTTTGATTTTCAACTATATTAATATATCTACACAAATCTATAGGAACAAATTCCCAAATGGGTATGATCTACCCAGAGAGTAGATTGGATACTTGCAGCTTTGAGCGCCCAGCACTTCACGTAGCATGTGGCATCCTTGCCGTATGCATGGCCAGTAGAGTCACTAGTACTCGCTCCATTTCGTGTTATAAGTCGTTTATTTTTTCTTCTAATCAAACTTCTTTAAGTTTACTAAATTTATAGAAAAATACAGTAGTATTTTCAGCACAAAACAAACATATATATATTATCAAACTATATTCAATGCTAGATTTAATGAAACTAATTTTATATTTTAGATATTGTTAAACTTTTTTATAAACTTGATCAAATTTAACAAAGTTTGACTAGAAAAAAAAGTTAAATGGTTCAAAATATGAAAAAAAGAGAGTAGAGAGTAGTGAATTATAAGCTGAGGTTGAAGGTTGGGCTTGCGCACCAACAAACCCCACCGATGGATCTGTCACTGGTTTGAGACAAGTTAAAACTAACTCTTTAAAGCAGGCTTGTTACTCCTTCCATTTCTTCCTTTTAGCATTTAATTTTTTTCTCAAAATATTTTCTTTACGTAAAACAGTAGGAGAGGCTCCTACTGCGCTACATTAAATAATATAATATAGAAGATTTACAAGGTTACGAGAATTTACAAAAGACAAATTAATTAAAAATGTCTAACCATGATTGTCACCTAGGTTTGTCCATCTCTTTTGCTCTATGCATATGCAAGGCAAACTCCCTCAGAAAATCAGCCTTCCATTTATCAAAACTGAGAGCAACATTGTTAAAAATGAGGTCACTCCTTCTGCACCAGATGTGCCAGCAGCCGATTGTCAAAACTTCAAAGAAGAAAGTGTGCTGAAAAGAGATCTGAGCTGAAGTGATCATGTTCATAAATTCCAAGGCCAAATTCCAGTGAATACCAATGTGTTGCCAGACATTGTTGTGCTAATGGACAGGAGAAAAACAAATGTGCCATGCTTTCTGTGGTCATGGAGGTTCACATCAAACAGTTTGTGCCATCTTATATGTTGAATTGCTTTTTATGTAACATTTCCTTTGTGTTGAGTCGATTCATTAGCATGAGCCAAAGAAAAACTTTAAGCTTCATTGTGCATTTGCTTTTCCAGAGTATTGATAGATGCCTGGCAACTTGAAGATGTTCAAAAAACATTGAGTAAACTTTCTTGGGTTGGTATTGATCTGAGTTCCATAAACATGACCATTTGTCAGGCTAATTGTTAATCTGTAAGCTTTGCAATCTGTCATTTAAATAATGTCATTAGTATATTCCAAAGCATTTATAGATATATCTTTCCCTTCCTCTATTATGGGAATTTGAATGCTTGTTTTGTGAAAAAGATAATCAGGACTTAATTAATGAGAGTAGCAATATAATTTGTCACACTTTCTAGTTTAGTGTGAAATTTACTGTAATGAAAAGTTAATTTGAAATGGTACCTATAATTTAATTTTATTTATATCCTCTAGTCATCAATTAGGAACTTAACTAACATATATATACTCCGTACATAACATTAACTTTTAGTGCCTTGGGCCAAAATAAACTACAACAATATTTTTTTTTATTTGTATTACCCTATATTTCCTCTCTTTTTTGAACCAGTACACATTGCTGCCTCTTACAGTATATGAGGAACACTCCTCTTTGAGTCTCTAGCTCCTCAGCCTCATTGTCTAGCACTTGAGATATCACTAGTTCTTACTGAAAAGCTGAGCCAAACCAAACCAGGGAAATCAATTCATTTTTATTCAAACTGAATAATTTTAATTCTAAAATAATAAAATGGGAATGCCAGACAATTTCGATATATCCAAGACATCCTAAAAGCGTCTTTTTTTCACACTTCATATATTTTTCGACTTGGTTTTTATTTTTTTTAAGAACTTTGGGCTTGTATTCTAGAGGATGATTTATGTCCTAGGGATGGAAAAGGAACCCATGCATCCTGACCCTTGTCACTACATCCAAACGACACACTGATATTTGTGTAGACTTTATGGATCTCTAGCAAGATGCGACGTGTATGTTATAGAAATACTATACATGAATAATGTGGGGAGGTTTAAATATATGTGAATTTATTATTTGCAAACCGCTAGTGGTGCAATCTCATAAAACCTTTGGGAATAAATTTAGCTCTATTTGTATCTGGGGACTAGTCCCTGTCACATCGGATATTTGAATACTAATTAGAAGTATTAAACGTAGGCTAATGACAAAACTCATTCCATAACATGGACTAATTCGCAAGATGAATCTATTGAGCCTAATTAATCTATGATTAGCATATGTGATGCTATAGTAAACATGTACTAATTATGGATTAATTATGTTTAAAATTTTTCTCACAAATTAGCTCTCATTTATGTAATTAGTTTTATTATTAGTATATGCTTAATACTTCTAATTAGTGTCTAAATATCCGATGTGATAGGGATTAAAATTTAATCCCTGTATCCAAACACCACCTAAGACTTATCAACAGGGTGTCCAACGACTCTCCGTAACTGTTTGGCACGTACTTCGGATTCGTTTTTTTCTTGCTTAAATTATAGCCATTTAAAACTTCACATATCATCCTCCATCGTTTTAAAGCTTCTATGCAAAATTATATAGTACTCTAAAATGCACGGTACTTACTAGTTTTTTTTTTTTGCTAGGCCATCGAAGAGAAGCTGGCCAAGAATTGTTAATATTGTGCAAAAAATTGTATTATACACTACTGCTGAACCAGCTATCACTGGCGGTTAAAAACCACACTACCGCTATCACCACATAATTAACTCAGCAACAAGGTCACCAGTATTAGTTTCAAACTCTCAATCTTGATTTTTTTTTTCAAATTGAAATTTCACTCAACAAAACCGAACCATTCTGGCCGGTGTTGAAAGCCGGCCAATGTTCAGGCGAAATTCCTGATCCTTACAAGCAAATGAAATATCAATATGGCACCGACGTTTCTGGTGCTTCAATCAACAACGTGCTTGTGTGGTGATGAATGCTCAAGAAGCTATCAATCATCAGTGATCACTAAATTGTCCACGTTTATGTCCTCTTTCTGTTGTCTTTACTTTGGTCACATCACCATTTTGCAAACAGTAGATACTGCTCTTCCATATATAAGCTTGTCAGTTGTCACACACGCACAATAAGAAAGCTGACATGAGAGAAAGCAAATTAGGAAGGAATTAAGACACATGTGAAGAGGCTTATATATGAGATTAACTGAATTCTAATTTGAAAAGAGATATGCTGCGCTAACTGTTACTCTATGCATTCATCAATATAACGAATTTTGGGTTTCAATTTTATCCACAAATTATAAGAAATTCGAAAATACTATTTTACTTAAATTTCACATGAGCTTATCTCCAACCACCTCCCATTTGATGAGGGGGTATCCTATTTTTTTCCCTTCAATATTAATCCTCAAAAAATCTAGAATAGATTATATTTATGAACTGAGAGAGTATATGGTATTTTACTTGCTGTACTAATATAATTTTTTATAAAATATAAGTGAATCATCTTATCAATTTATATGCACCACTTTTTTTTAAGATAGTGGATTTAAAACCGGGCCTCTAAGTCTAAGCACGGATTTTCACGGTCAGTGTACCACAATCTTATATATGTACTCCCTCCGTTTTTTAATAGATGACACCGTTGACTTTTTCTCACATGTTTGACCATTCGTCTTATTCAAAAAATTTTATTCAAATGTATAAGATATAAATCACACTTAAAGTACCATGAGTGATAAACAACTCATAACAAAATAAATTATAATTACGTAAATTTTTTAATAAGACGAACGGTCAAATATGTGAGAAAAAATCAACGGCGTCATCTATTGAAAAATGGAGGTAGTATTAATTTATACGTACCACTTCATATGTTCATGAGTGCATATTTTCATGGGATACTGTATATAGCAGCATGTCTTTTTTTTTTACTGGCAAGTGCAGACTTTCATCTGTAGCCAGTGAAAAGGATCACCGACATCAACACATGCATACAACCATATATTGATATATACAATTGAGATCCTCTGCAGTACTGCATGCTCTGCTCAATGCCTGAATGCAACTTTCATTTATAGCCAGTGAATAAGGATGATGTTGCCATCTTCCACTTGAACTCCATCTAGTCTAGGACGTCTAGGAGTATATAAACTAGCTAGGTGATGACTAATCCAATCAAGGATTCTGCAGCTTCCACATACATCAGTTCAGATATATAGCATCAACCAAGTGTATCCTTGGAGCGTCTTAGCCATCCATTTTTTATTTTCCATATGAATTGAACTTTTTGCATTGGTGTTCATCATGGGCTCTGAAGATTTCTGCCGTGTTTTTAGCATTATAAAAGTGAAATGGACATGATCGGAATACTGCAGCCTTATCTTTCTTTTTGTTCTGTGATGAAGTCTGCAGCTACAACGATGTAATATCAGAATATATAGATCTTCAGATATTAGTGTATCTTTATATGATTGACCCCTGACAAAGATGGCACCTGAATGCATGGCGTGCTTTTCTCCCTGTTTCAAACAGATTTTTGCGTTCTAAAAAAAAGATTTTTGCATCAATTATTGAGGCAAATTGTTTACTCGATTAGCACGATAAAATATAAGTAAACTTTACATCTGGCTTACAATAAGTGGTAAATTAATAATGCAGTAGATGATATTGATTTTTAGAAATCGTATTTTTAAAAGCGTGGAGCAAGTAATCTATGGCAAAAATCTGAAAATGATAAAAGCTAAAAGGAAGAGGGCAATATATACGATGTCTGAACTCTGAAGGGTTCATTATTAGAAGGATCATGTTCATGGTCCTGGAGTCCTGGACTCTTGTACTACCAGTGATGAATAGAAAGGTTGACAATGATCTCCTGTATTTCCTCTGTTGTCAACACTCTATTGTATTATTAGACTCTTGATTGGCATAAACGGCGATATTTCAAGGTTAGCTGCAATGCGTTCATACTATAAATAGTGGCTTGCTATTGGCATTCATTACGCGTGTGCAACACTCAAATTATTGGTCTTGTATTCATGCAGACAATAATCTGTCTGGTACTATACAGGAATTGGGATGTTTTCGTTGATTGAACACCGAAATCTTATCTACAATAAAACACGGCTTCGCATTCTTAATAATATTTATCTCACTACTAAAAATCCCCATGTTCCCTACCGTTTAATATTTTCCTACTAGTGTGTGTGGAGACAAGGAAAATAAAAATACCCATATCGTACCATTCTAGGAACATAGGGAAATTTTTTGTTTCATACAGTTTTACAGTATTAAGAGGGAACAAACAACTGAAACGTTCACCATGCTGGCCGGTCATGTTTCCCTGCGATATGATTAAAAACAAGGTGATTCCCCGCGCTTTAATGCGAGAATTACTAAGTAATTATTAATTTTTTTGACAGCAAGTTAGGAGTAAAAAGAAAAAAATAATAATGAAACATCAGGGTTTATCAATCAAATAATACCATGCTTCAATGTGAAACATATTGATAAGTATATGTTAAATATTGTAAAAGTGATAGATAGATTTGTTAAAATATCGTGCAAATGATACGAGGGGTGATGATTCAAGGTTTCAAACATGCTGAACATGCTGCTACCCAGTCAAGTGAAATGTCCATGCATGTTTGGTTTTCACCTTAATATTGCTATGTTGTAGGAAGCAAACTTATTTAGCAAACTGTAAGTTTTTATTATACTATGCAACAGGTAGGAAATAATAAGAATACCTGGTGATCAGAGATCTTGACAGGCACCAGGAAGAAGTCATTGTCCACCTCCATAGCATCCTTTCCCCCAGCCACCACCTCTTTCCGCATCTTGGACAGGCGGGGATCGTCTTTGTCCCTAATCTTCGTCTGCAGCACACCATCCTTGAATAGCTTCACACAAAGTAGCGAAAGAGAGAGATAATGCCAGAATAGATTGCTAGTGTTGCCCAGCAGAAAAAGGAAAGTCTGTAAATTCATTCTCACCTAAGATGAACAACAGAGGTCTGCCCCCAATTCTGTGTGTCTGCAAAAATCAACCAAGAAACAATGAGGATAATGAGCAGCACAACCGAATTAGCCAAGGAGGAAGATTTCCTCTTGTTGGCTAAACGAAAGAAAAAAAAGGGCACCAATTAACCTGCAGCAGTAGAGTGGGCGAGCTTCCAAGAGAGAGGAACCGATGATAGCAGCACGAGCAACAGAAGCAAAGGTGCTGCTGCCCTTGTCCGTGGCCGCCGTCGTCGTCACTACCGCCGCCCTCGACCGCTGCCACCGCCCTCATCCGTGTCCGCCGCCGCCACCGTCGAGTACAGCCGCCTCGTCCTCGTCCACTGCCGCCCTCGACCGCTGCCGCCTCCCTCTTCCGCGTCCGCCGCAGCCGCCCTCGTCCGCGTCCAATTCCGCCGCGCTCGTCCCCGACCGCCGCCACCGTCGCTGTCACCATCGACAGAGTCTGTCACCGCCGTAGTCGCTGTTGCTGGGGGAGGCGATACGGTACAGGAGGCGATGCGGTGGGGAGCGAAGGGACCGAGGGCATGCTCCAAAACGCAATGAGGACCACTGAGATGTAATCCAACGGTCGATAATTAAATGATGACGTGGCTTCACCAAATCTCAGCTTTGGGTCTTAACTTTATGAAAGAAGGGATTATATGGGACTAACTCTAAAGAATTTAGCTCCAGAAAAATTTGCCTGTCCTCATTTTCTTTAAAAAAAATTGCCTGTCCCTGCTAGTTTTATAGTTTCCCTCCAGTCCATACATCTCTGTCCCACCTCGTCCACATAGAAAAGCCCTAGCCGCCTCCACCAAAATATTTCCCTTCTTCGGTGAAATCAGCGGCCATGCTCTAGTGTCATGCCATTATCTAAGGTCATTCTTGCTTCCCGCAACTCTCCTGCATCGAATCCCTAAACTTTCCACCCAAAAAACACGCTTTGTGGCCCTAAATCCTCTATTCGTCATCCCCCATTACCTTTCCATCCATTAAATGCGCATGACCACCTTTTAAAAAACTGACACCTTTTAAAAACTGAGCAGTGAGCTTATGAGCGGATAAGGGGAGGAGAGTGCGCGGTGACAAGCGGATAAGACCGAGAGTCTCTCTCTCTCTCTCTCGGCCTCCCCTCCGCCAGATTCGGTGGGAGGAGAGGCATCGATGATGGTGGTGGCAGGCTCCGGATCTCACGGGCGGTGGGCTCCAGATCTCACGGGCAAGGGCGTCCATGGGCGACGGCGGCCTCTCCGTCCGTCTCCCCTCCCCTGGCCTGCCTTGGCCTCTCCTCTCCATCCGGCCAGCAACGGTGGCCAACGGTGTCCTGCTACTTCCGGCTCCAATGAGCACCCATGTCGACTTGAATCCTCTTTCTCTCTCCATCCATCTCTTCAGCCTTCGGTGAGCACCACCATTTCTCTTTGCCTTAACCCTATCTTCATTTCTAGATCTAGAGCAAGCTTTTCTCCGGTGGATGCAGCCAACAGCGACTTTTTATGATGCTTGATTCTATGATGTGAACTTATCGATGAACATTTGATCGTGTGATCCATGAACTTGTTGATTGTCTGATGTGTACTTTTATATATATATATTTGGATTTATTTTTGGTGACTTTGAAGCACTAGCTTAGCTCAAATTGAGCTAAGCTGGAGTTTTTTTTTTTTTGCAAATCGTATACCTCTAATAGACTTCGTGGTGTCAGTTGGGAAATCCGGCACCTATGAAAGTTTCCCAACCAACACCAATAGCCTTTTCTATAATAGTGATATAGGGTATGTTCAGCAGTCAGTCACATGCTACCACAACCACTTTGGTTGAACCTTTCTAAGGTTTGGTGGTTAAAATCTTTGCTACGGCTTAGGAGCTGTTTGGATGGGGGGATTGATTTTTAGCCTCTGTCACATCGGATGTTTGGACACTAATTAGAAGTATTAAACGTAAACTAATGACAAAACCCATTCCATAACCCTGGACTAATTCGCGAAATGAATCTATTAAGCCTAATTAATCCATGATTAGCCTATGTGATGCTACAGTAAACATGTGCTAATTATAGATTAATTAGGCTTAAAAACTTTGTCTCGCGAATTAGCTCTCATTTATACAATTAGTTTTGTAAGTAGTCTATGTTTAATACTTCATATTAATGTCCAAACATCCGATGTGACAGAGACTATACAAAGTTAGTAACTGAATTCAAACACTACCTTAGTAACGGGATCCAAACACCACCTTAGTAAGCTTAAGAGAGAATCGTGTCATATTTTTCTTAATCACTTACACCCGAGCCCTAGTTTTTTAGAAGTACTAATCTTGCTACAACTGTCTAAATAGTTGATCAAATTTATCTAATCTATGATAAGTTATGGCCGACAACTAAACGGGGCTTATAATATCTTCCGTTATATTTGAAGAAAACACGACCCAGTTAGCTCAGTACTAATACTTATGTGCAAACAGTACGTTACACAGTACAATGTCGGTCTTTTGTAGTACTACCTCCGTTTCAATATAAATATAAATATAGTTGTGGTTTTCCATATCTAACGTTTGACCATCATTCTTATTTAAAAATTTTATGATTTTTTTTAAAAATAGTTACACATAAAATATTATTCATGTTTTATCATATAATAATAATAAAAATACTAATTATATTTTTTTAAATAAGGCAGATAGTTAAATGTTGGACATGAAAACTCACACTTGTACTGATGTAGATAGTAATTAGGGTGTGTTTAGTTCACGCTAAAATTAGAAGTTTGATTGAAATTATAACGATGTGATGGAAAGGTTGGAAGTTTGTGTGTAGGAAAGTTTTGATGTGATGGAAAAGTTAGAAATTTGAAGAAAAAGTTAGGAAGTAAACCAGAACTTAATTTTTTTGTCTATGAAAAAGAGGGAGAGGGAGGTACGTACGAGCTAGAAACTGCAGAGTGTGAATGCATTCCCAATCAATCAGTCACTGTAATCTCAAACACCATGGACAGATATGATATGGAGTAGATAGGAGTGAAAAGGGTCGGAAACGATCGGAATTGATATCATCTCTTTAAAAACGGTGCTCGATCAGCCAATAATTGACCATATTTATCATTTAAACTACTCAGTATCGATATTAATACGATGCAGAAAAAATTATGAAAAAAATTTAAAATAGCAAAAAAACGATACGGTCGGAAACGGTACCCTTTATACGGAAACGACACTCGGTTGATCGGGAATTTCCGTGACCATCTTCACCCCTATGAGTAGATATGTGATCAATCCTGCAGTCTGCGCTGCGTTGTTTGGTTACATGTTTTCCGAACTACTGAACGGTAATATTTTTTCTAAAAACCTTTATATATAAAAGTCGCTTTAAAAACCATACAAATCTATTTATTTTAAATTTAAAATAAATAATACTCAACTAATTATATATTAATAGCTCATCTCGTTTTACATATCTTCCCAATTTACTTCTTTTCTCTTCTCTCGAACTCCCAGCTAGCTCAAAAGCAAACCCCAGAAAAATCCACCGGCTGCCACAAGCAGCCACCGTCAGACCATCACATATACACATCGCCATTAGCAGTCGAGCTGTCGAGGTCAGGGAGCCGGCTAATTTAGCCCATGCATGATAGCTCCAATTCCTCCATCCTATAAAATAATTTCGTATCTTTTACCTCTACCATTCTTTTCAAAATGACATCACTTCTTTCACTTTATTTATATCTAATCCATAAATTAATTAGTTTTATTTTGTTGATATTTCTTATCCACTTAGAACAAGTTTTATAGTAAAGATGATGATCACCTCTAATTTATCTTCATATTACTTGCCTTAGATATACACCCGTGCTAATATACCATAATAATATATTTTACTATATTACTATATTAGTTTCTTTCTCTCCTCCCCGTAGAAGTTTGTGTAGAGATTGCTTCTTTCATGACATGAGAGGTGGTTTCTCCTCTCTCTCCTTTGTTTTCCTTTTCCATCTCATCATGTGATCCTATTATCCTACAAATACGAGCGTTTGGATGTCCGTAGTACTTGCTCTCATAAATATATAATATTATTTTTTCTTTTAAGGAGAGACACTTTGGTAGTATATTTTTACTTCATATCAATTTGTGTTATGATGATAAAAGATGAAGTTATTTTTGGAACGCATGTAGTACTATAGCTGGTGCATGAGGCTGCGGTGCAGTGCCACCAGCAGCTAGAGATGAATTGATCGGCTGCACAAGAGGAGGGCGGCTAAGGCCTCTCAGAGCGCAAGCACCGGTTGCCGGATCCTAGCCCAAAAATTGTCCCAAAGACACTCCTCCCCACAGTACAAGAATCCTATTCTGTGTAGCTTAATTGAATGAAGGTACTATGGAAGGAAACTGAGCCCACAGTGGGCGGAACCCCAAGCGCATGGACACGGGTAGTGCGGAACAAATTTATTCCTCACTTACCCTCGAGCGGTCCGTCCGCTGACTTATCTACTTTTCCTCATCCTCCTCTTCTTCTGCCTCACTTCTCGAATGCGGCCGCCGCTCCTGATCCTCCCCTCCGCCGCCGAGCCATCACAGCGGCGGCGGTGGCGGCGAGGTGGAAGCGCGACGCTGGCCTCGTGCAGCGGCGGAGGAGGAGGGGAAAGGCTCGAGCGGGGCACGCCTCCACCGCGGCGACCTTGCCGAGGGGGGCCTCGAGCAGCGCCGCCGGACCCCGGGGAGTGGCGGAGCCGCACGGCACAGGCCGCCGCCGCGAGGAGGAGGAGCAGAAGCAGGAGCCGCCGTTTTTTTCTTGCACTGTCTAGATCTGTTGGTTCGGGGTGATTTGAGTTGACTTGAGTTGATTTCAGCGGTTTGGTCCGCATCTGTGGTGGTTTGGGGTGGAATTCGCTGTGCGTTTGGGTTGATTTCATCAGTTCAGCGATGATTCCGTTGGAGGGCGATTTGGGGTTTTCTGCAGGCTTGTTCGGCGCGAGGGCACGGGACCATATATGAATATTCAGTATGAGCTTCTGCTAGCTGCCTCCACGCGCTCCAAGGAACTGATGAATCTCCATTCTCCAAATAATCCTCCGGCTGCTTGCCCATGCAAACGGCATAGGATATAGGATATTGATAGTCATAGCTAGGGATCACATGCAGGGGTATCCTTTTTTAAAAAAAATTTAACTTTATTAACTTTAGAAGCATAGTAACTATGTTACCCTGATACGGAGATACGGATACGGATACGCGTTACGGGGATACGAGGATACGTCACTTTTAAAAAAACACCGATACGGGGATACGTCTATATATACTTATTAATTAAAAAAATTACTAAATCCCTGTAAAAAAACAATAACACTTTCTTGTAGCTAAAGAGATTAGCCTGAAATAATGAACTTTCTGATTGGATTATATTATCTCCACCAAAGCCCAGATAACAGAGGACCAAGAATAATGTATAAATTAGTGTAAGACTGTAAGCAGTGCCAAAATAAAAACAAGTTGATGTTTTTTCCTTGCTGGTGGTCCAGTCAGCCTTGATGAAACTCCAGCCGAACTAGGCACTAGGAACGATAGATGCAGTACTCTGAACTTGCAAATCCAAAACCCATCAGACATATGAAACAAGATGCATTAGTTCTTAGAAAAAAATAAGGGGGGAAGAACGTACACAAAACAGATCCATCAACGGTTCCTTCAGTGGGAACGAAGGACCCATATTGCTCAGTGCGGTGGCTCTGTGCCCGGCGATGGCGGCCATCGGCGGCGCTGCGCCCCGGCAGTGAAGGTGGTACACGTCTGGCACGGCGGTGGTCCGTTCGACTTATGGCCGCCGCGGCTCTCCTTTTGCCGTCGTTGGCGGCAGCGGCTTTGCGGAGGCGGCGCAGCCGCGCGCCCACGCGTAGATGCGGCGATTGACAGTACTCCCTCCGTTTCAGATTGTAAGACTTTCTAGCATTTCTCATATTCATTTAAAAGTTAATGAATCTAGATACATATATATGCCTAGATTCATTAACATCTATATGAATGTCGGTAATGCTAGAAAGTCTTACATTGTGAAACGGAGGAAGTATTTGTTAGGGTTGGGACTTGGGACTATCCAGGATGCGCAGAGCCGTATCCAAGAAGTATCCGAATTATCTTTATTTATTTGAAAATCAGAAAAATTGAGGATACGTATGGGATATGTATCGGAGCGTATCCGATGGAGTATCCGATACGGATACGCTGACTGTTAGCCGTATCAGTGCTTCGTAGCATAGTACATCAACCAATGATACATTCTCCATAAGAGGAGAGGATTCCAAAGCTTCCTTAGGCCTTTAAGGGTGCTCCACCCTGGACCGGTGCTATGGGGCGCCATGGAGGATTTTGTTCGACATGGAACGAGCGCCCGTGACCAAGTTAGGCTCCTCACGTCCATCCATACTGAGCGACGTAGAACCTTGTTTGCTCGAGTCTACGCGCGGCCAAAAAAACGAAAGGAGCCTGCGCTGTGGGCTTCGGTTCTTCGCCACACCGTGACCTCGCGCCGCATCCAGTGAAGAAATTCCCGATTCGCCCACGAAAAACCCCATCCCGCCCAGCGATTTCCCCTCCCACCACATCCATTTTTCCTCCCACCATCGAGTCAAGAAAAGGCAAGAAAATCGAAGAACCGAAGATAAGAGCATGACAAGCAAGTATAGATAGGAGTAGGATCCCTCTGGGTCTTAAAACACCACAGGAACAAACATCACAAGAACTGAATATAAGAACATAACAAGCAAAGATAAAAACAGGAGAGCAGTTCTTGATTTTTCTCATCAAGAACTGGAGAACAGAACATGCAAAGATATTAAGAACAATGATTCGCTTCTTGATTTCTTGACAGAGCTGACCGCGGCGGCGCCGGCAGGGTCAGGATTGGCGGTGGGCAGCGGTGAGGCTGGTGGTGGTGGCCGACCGCCGGATCTACTCCCCCACCTCCTACTCCTCCTCCACCTCACCGCCACCGCGTGCAGTGGGTGGCGACGCCTTCTTGCTCCCTCCTCCCCGCGGCGTGAGAGGCGAGTAGGCACGGCGGACCGGGAGGAGGAGCGGCGGCGCGGGCGGTGATGGCCGACGCCGCCGCGGTAGCCGGGACACCTCCCGCCGCCAAGAACTGGTGGCCGCTTGCGCGACCAACAAGAACCGCCGGCCCTCCACCTCGCCGCCCGCCGGATCTACTCCCCCACCACCTCCTCCTCCTCCTCCCCCTCGCCCTTGCTGGTTGGCGAGGCGGCGCGATCGACGGGAGACGAGGCGGCGTGGCCGACCAGGACGAGGCGGCACGGCCTACCGGGACGAGGCGGCGCCGTTGACGGGAGAAGAGGCGGCGGGGTTGACGGCGAGGCGAGGCTGCCGGAGTGGAGCGCCGGTGGACGAGGAGGAGAAGCGGCGGGTGCAGCGGATTGGGAGGAGGCGAAGGGCTGGGAGAGGAGTCGCTGGAAGGGTAGGTTAGGAAAATTAATTCGTTCCGCTCCCTGTGACCACGCGACTCGGGTAACGCCCACTGTGGGCTGGGTTTCTTTCCATAGTACCTTCATCCTATTTAGCCACACATATATGGGTGCTTGCACTGTGGGGTAGATGTCTTTGAGCTATAACTTTGGGCTAGGGGTATGGGCCCCATAGCTTGCACTGCTATTGCCCTTAGTGTGTGTTCGTCACCCCCTTTTCCCAACCCATCTCCCTCGTTTTTCACGTGCACGCTTTTCAAACTGCTAAACAGTGTGTTTTTTGCAAAAAGTTTCTATACGAAAGTTGCTTAAAAAAAATCAAATTAATCCATTTTTTTAAAAAAATAGCTAATACTTAATTAATCACGCGCTAATGGACCACTCCGTTTTCCATGCGTACTACTCCGATTGGGAACCGGGAATGGCGAACACAGCCTTAGTAGTTAGTAGGGCAGCTGGAATGAGAACATAAGCCCTTGTTTAGTTCCCAACTTTTTCTTCAAACTTCTAACTTTTTCATCACATCAAAACTTTCCTACACACATAAACTTCCAACATTTTTCTTTAAACTTCCAATTTTAGTCAAAATTCCAATTTTGGTGTGGAACTAAACACACCCTAAGTGGGAAATGTTCTGACAAACTATTTGATTTTGTGTTTGACCAATTTTTCCCCTAGCTTGCTTGGCAAGGAAGTTGCAGGGGTATCCTCAAAGATATATATGGATATGAGGACGTACGTACGGTATGGCTAAGATATATCTGATCGAATATTGATTTCGGTATCAGTCTTCGGTCTGGTCATCAAATACTTAGTTATAGTATAAAATAGTCGAGATCAATCAATTCAATCTCAATCGTCATAAACCAATTGTATGCTACGCAAATGGTAAGTCTGTTGGTCAATGTCCTCCTAAAGTCCTGGCCCTCGACCTCAGCCTCACGTTGAGATATCTAAATCAACCAAATGTATTGTCATTGTGCGCTGGATTTAGATCAAAGGACTAGATTAGAGTATAGGCATAGGCGCTTGCAATGAATTTACAGTTGTAGTTGCCGTCAAGTCTCTAGGGCTTACTTAAATTGATGTTCTTCAACATTTACTTATTGAGTTTATTGGGCCAATTTTCAGCCAATATGGTTAACCGAAGGTGGTGGTCGAATTGACCAAAAAATTAAATTTAGTCATTTAGCAGTTGATCTCTTACCTAGAGAAGACATATTAATTCGTGAGATTATGAGAGAATTGGACTCGAAAACCAAACAACAAATGGGGACTAAAAATGTAACTCCCATAACCAATTCCACCATCAACTTCCTCCTTCAAACTCCCATTCCTCTTCCCTTCTCTTGCCAAACATGCCATTAATATTATGGGACAGGAGTAGTCGGTGAGGCTGTGTTCTTTCTCATGGGTTCCCAACCCATCTCCCTTGTTTTCTGTATGCACGTTTGTCAAACCGCTAAACGATACACGCTTTGCAAAAAGTTGATATAGGAAAGTTACCTATTTTTCAAGTTCTTTATAGATAATACTTAATTAATCACGTATTAATGTATCGCTCCGTTTTCCATGCGGAGGAGAGGGTTCCCAACCCCTCCAAAAGAACACAGCCTTTAGGGTCCTTTCAGCAAAATCTCATTTTCATTTCACAATGTGACTACTAAGCACAAATTCCAAAAAAATCAGGGTCCTTTCAGCAAAACCTCCACATTGAATGAGCTCCTAAAAAACCCCCTCCCCATTCTGTATATAAGATCATCACACCTTTCTCGTTAGGGTTTCCGCCGCCCGCCGCCGCATCGCCGCTGCAGCCTCCTTCCCCCTTCGCCGCCGTACACCCTCCAGCCAGCCATGGCGGAGCAGGTAAGCGCCCGCGCCACCCACCCCGCGTGATCTCTCTCTCCGTCGATGCGCTGTTTCTCGCATCCCCTCCCATTCCTCTCGTTTAGGATTTAGGACCAGTTATTAATTGGCGCGTCTAGGGTGTTCGAGCCATCTACTGGTCTGATCTGATCTGATCCAGTGTAGTGTGATGACCGATGCGAAGTTTGAATCTTACGGTAGTGAGGCTTTGATCTGTGGGCATCTCCTGAGGATATAATTAGGAAATGGCGGCATATTTTCGTTGAATTTTTTTAAAGATTCTGTTTAAGAATCCACGATGTACTATGGTTTTGCGATGGGGATGTGAATTCAGAGCTCGCAAGCTGAGACACAAATGCTTTGTACATTTTGAGACTCGATGACATTAATGTAGTTTGGGTTGTCGCATTGGCGCTCCCCAAGACTCCACCTGTTTATTTATTTCAACCCAAGGTTCATTGGTTATCTCTGTATACTGTGATTTTCATTGACAAAAAATCGATGATGTGTTTGGGGGTGGGAATGATGGTTAGATTGGGTTCAGATATGTGAAGGAAGCTGTATAGTGTATAGTACAAAGTAAAGTTGCATAAAGGGTAAAGGAAATGTCTTCTCTATTAAGTAAAAACTAACTAGAGTTGTCATGATGGCTAGATGCTTATAAAATGTTTTATTTGGGTGATGCTCAATTGTTTGTGTTCTGATAAAACCTTTGTCATGTTTCACCATAGCAGAGTTATGTTGCATTTACCGTGGTACATGTCGATGTCGTGCTTACAATTTGTTGACTATTCTATTGCACACTTTAGAATGTAGTCATTATACGGTGCCAGTAGTTTTGACGTATGTCATTCTTTGTATTGTTCAGACTGAGAGAGCTTTCCTGAAGCAGCCCAAGGTCTTCCTTTGGTGAGGGTTCTGCTTCTACCTGTAATTTTTGCGGTTCATTAAATACATCATTTGTATCTAATAATTAGGTGCTTGATTTCAGCCCAAAGAAATCTGGCAAAGGGAAGAAGCCTGGCAAGGGAGGTAACCGCTTCTGGAAGAATATTGGCCTTGGCTTCAAGACACCCCGGGAAGCAATTGAAGGTAATAAATAAATTCTTCCCTGTAACTATGCAAATCATGCACCCTGTAATTTGGCATATAATTTAGTTTCTGAAGTGTGCACTGCCATTTCTTTATACTTTGGTATTCTTTCTTTTACATCCTACATCATGAACTACATTTGCCCTATGTCGAAACAGGTTATCTCTTTGTGAATACCTAGATAAGTAATTGGTTCCAACATAGTCTTGATGGTATTACATTCCCTGCTCAAAGTAATTTAACTTGGCAGTGATTCTTTTTAGATAAAAGTTTTTAGTTATCAAATTTATTCCTCAGTTTTTTTTAGTGATCAGTGATTTCTTAGTGATACCATTTCTTTTAAAAAAGAGCTTGATGAAAGCAAACATTGTTCCTTGGTTCCTTACCAGATACCAATTTGTATGCGCTGTTCGTTGGGCTACAGGAAGAAAAATGCTTACCTTGAATTTTTCTTTTTGCTACAGTTGGTATTTATTTTGCAATGCATGTAACAATTGTTCTGTTGATGATATACTTAGGAATACCTAGGGAAACTTGCTACTTTCATCATAATGTAATCAAATTGTTAACTAATTCTGTTTCAGGGACCTACATCGATAAGAAATGCCCATTCACTGGAACTGTTTCTATCAGAGGTAGAATTATTGCTGGAACATGCCACAGTGCCAAGATGAATAGGACAATCATCGTACGCAGAAACTACCTCCATTTTGTGAAGAAATATCAGCGGTAAGTAAAGCAATGGAGGACTATGAACTTACATTTCTTATCTGTGATGGCATCTTATTTAGAAGGTGAACTTGTTCATCTTGTAGATATGAAAAGAGGCACTCCAACATTCCAGCTCACATTTCTCCATGCTTCCGTGTTAAGGAAGGTGACCATGTCATCATTGGCCAGTGCAGGTAATGTTCTCTAGCTGATGCTGTACTTAGTACATGTTTTCTGTTTTGTTCTGCATACCTGAATATTGGGATTACATGACTTGAAAGTTCCACTGAATTATCTGTTTTCTTTAAAATGTTCTTGAAAATTAAGAAACTAATTTATATTTTCATCTGCTCTGTCATTCCTCTTGTATTACATTGTTGATGCCATAACTCAGAACCAAGCATCATATTGTTTTGGATGAGGCTGTTCTATTGTCTTAACCAGGTTAAGGTCCTGTTTGGCACAGCTCCAGCTCCAGCTCCACCCCTCCTGGAGCTTGAGCTCAGCCAAATAGTTTCAGCTCCACCAAAACTGGGAGTGGAGTTGGGTGGAGCTCTCTCACAAAATATACTAGAGTTGTGGAGCTGGGTTTAGGTAGCTCCACAACTCCACTCCAGACTCAACTCCTGGAGCAATATTTAGAAGTTGGAGCTGTACCAAACAGGCCCTAAATTGCAAAAATGTTTAGTTCATGTGATTATTATTTTTTTGTTCTGTCATGAAATTTATTCTGGTTATGAACAAAAATGCATTTCCAGCCCCTGAGTTTATATTTACTTCTGAATTTTCTTTGCCCTGTGTGTGGTTGTGCAGGCCTTTATCAAAAACTGTGAGGTTCAACGTTATTAAAGTCATCCCAGCTGGTTCCACAGGTGGTGGGAAGAAAGCATTCATTGCAGCTTGAGCTTATCGAAAATGCCTAATCAATCACTAGTTAAATATACAAGTGTTCACTTAGAATTCTTCTAGCTTGCTGTTTTGACCTTCTGTCTAGGTCCCTGGAGCATTTGCCACTCATCTGAAATGTATCCGTGCAAGTTTTGTTTAGATCTCTGGTCATGCAAATTGTGGTTGCTGTTGCCCTGTCGTTGGGCCATGTTCCTTCTTTGAAGCAATAGCATCAACAGCCTGTTTGTTTCAGTCTTATGATGGTGATGTGCGTTATCGTTGTTTTTTTTAAGCTGGAAATTGTTCACCATGTCACTGACATTTCAAAAGATGTCTATTTCACATGAACTAAAAGATCTTGTGATGTTTGCTATTGTGAAATTGTTGCTGCCTGATAAGATCATCTCTAAGATTCTGACGGTGACTTGATAATTTTTGCACGCATTAAATAAACATCTTAGCCTCCTAGTAGCTGTTGTAGTTGTAGGCTGCGTCTCAAGCTTGAAGAAAGGAGATCGGTTGTTTGCAAGGCATGCAATTTAAGCTTCTTCTTAAAGTGCATTTCAGCATGTTAAAACCCCAAATCCATCCCAGATTCTCCAAGAAATAGTGAATCAATTCAGTCATACAAATGAGCACCAAATTTATCGTTCCTCTCTCTTGCTGCATATCTGCACTTGTGCTGCTCTCATCACATCTCCATAGTCCAGCCATTTCTTCATTCCTTGGAATCCTTCTTGATCTTGCAGCACCTTCCCTTCCATTCTATCTGCTAACATCTGGCACTACAAATTCTACTGGAAATCATCGGTATCGCGACGAATATAATCCGTTATGCGATGATTTCCCACCGGAATTTCCACCGCCAGATACCGCGGCAATTTCAATCTTCTGTGTCGATCCCAATGGCTGCTGCAACTTCACAACGGTGCAGGCAGCGGTCAATGCTGTTCCAAGCTTCAGCAAGAAGAGGAATGTTGTATGGATCAACAAGGGAATCTACTAGTAAGCATCAGTGTTTCTTACCTTCTTCAGATTTGTAGTGCTCTTTCCAAAGTGCACTGTTGGCTGTTGCGAAGTGTGCTGTTACCGAAGCTGAATTGTTGCAGTGAGAAGGTGACAGTCCCAGCAACCAAGCCCAACATCACATTTCAGGGCCAGGGATTCGATCTGACGGCAATTTCTTGGAACGACACTGCCAACTCATCGCATGGAACGTTCTACAGCGGTTCAGTGTCCGTTTTCGCAACAGGCTTTGTTGCGAAAAACATCAGCTTCATTGTAAACACAGAGTACACAGCAATTTCAGCTTAAGTCACAGACTGCACCTTAGGTAGCAATCCTTGCTAACTCTGAATTATTTGAAACCAGAATGTGGCACCAATCCCAAGACCCGGTGATGTCGGTGCTCAGGCGGTAGCACTGAGGATCGGCGGTGACCAGGCAGCATTCTGGGGTTGCGGCTTCTTTGGTGCGCAAGATACGCTTCACGATGATCGTGGCCGGCATTACTTCAAGGAATGCTTCATCCAGGGTTCCATTGACTTTATCTTTGGAGATGCCAGGTCACTCTATGAAGTGAGTAAAACCATAATCCAAAGATTGGAAGACAACAAAAATACACTTTGTCACTGACTGCTTCCACCTGTGCACTTCCCAGAATTGCAGGGTGATTTCCATAGCAGATCCTGTTCCTGCAGGGGTGAGAACCATCACAGGTTCAGTCACTGCGCATGCCCGGGAATCTGTAGACGACAACACTGGCTACTCTTTTGTCAATTGCAGCATTGGCGGCACCGGCAGGATATGGCTGGGGAGAGCATGGAGACCATATTCCACAGTCGTCTTCGCCTACACTTCAATGTCAGACATCATTGCCTCTGAAGGATGGAATGATTGGAATGATCCTTCAAGAGACCAGTATGCATCCTCTCTCTATTCAGTGTCAATTGTTACCTGCATGACAAAAAGGTAAATTAGCATTAATATTTGTAATGTTTGAATTGTCAGGACTGTGTTCTATGGAGAGTACAGGTGCACGGGTGATGGTGCAAACTTATCAGATAGAGTGCCATATGCTCAGAAGCTTAGTGATGTGCAGGTTTTGCCTTACCTGAACACTTCTTTTATTGACGGAGACAGATGGCTAAAGCCATACTGTGATTCACTGATATCTGCTTGAAGCAACCAAACATAGGCATTAATTGTATTGCAAACTTGAAAAAGGAAAATGTGTACTCCATTCTTTGTTTTCTTTTTCTTCTCACTTTAGAGCACGTTGAATTAACAATTGTGCATAGACCAGTCTTACAGAGATGTATTATTTTTTACAGAAGATTTAGCCATTGTTTGATCATCTACATTTGAGCAGCACAAAAATGGTACATGGAAAGGGAGCCAACTCCAATTGTTGAATTACAATTACTGGCATTACAACAAGCTGACTAATATCAACATTCTAACTGCAAGAGCTCAAGTCCAACTATCTCATCTCATGTCCCAATGAAAATTGAGGGATCCTGCCATTCTCTTCTTGAGACAGATGCTTTTTAGCTGGGTCTGAGACTGTTGCTTTCGACAGACACTATTCCTAAAATGAAATCTCACTCGGTGCATGGAATGTCCGTCCACGGCATATGGCTTCCAGGTTCTCTCCCGCATAAGAGCTAAGTGGAGAAACTTCAACACCTGAAGTACAAGTAAAGTTATGCGATAATCAATTCACAAATTTCCATCTAAAAAAATTTCAGCTAGTGACGGTCTTCAAAAGTTTCTAGATATACATACAAAACGTTACCTGTCATATACAAGGGCACGGAATGAGTCAAAAAGCCACCTGCAGCTACCACCCATCGGCTGTGAAGGCGGAGCAGCATTAATCTGGCACTATCAGGAGTATCATAAGTTGCACCATTAGCATTCTTTACTGGTGCAAATTCCTCCTCCCTCAAAATCTGAAACATTAGGTGCCAACAATACCAATGAGATCTTTCCAATAAATGTTTGCTTTCAGTAATTAAATAGAACTAGTAATAGTGAATTTGAAGTCAAACCTCAAAAAGAGCTGTTGATGGAGAATAGGTGAACACGTCAAATATAAACTGTTCAAGCTTTAAGCCTGCCGTGTACCCATGGATTGAAGGAATCTTCTTCTCTGCTAAATGGTAACTGGGCACAGGATTTTAAAATTAAGCACAAAATATGGAAAGAGTAAGTTGACACTGAAGTGGTATTGCTGTATAATATCCAACAATCACATTGCAGGAAGAAGAAAAATTAAAAAAAAAAGAGGTTGTATAACGAAAAACTAGTCACAAGTGATTTATTATATTAATTGATATAATAATGTCTGTTCTATTATTAAAACAAGGTTAAAAGAAGCCTCTTAATTCACTCTCAAGGGCTAGAAATTACCACATAAATTAGTAAAAGAGACAATTATCAGGTCGATTGTGGTGGTACAGATTATAACTGTGTTGATCGATCTGAAAGAGTTATATAAGAATATTTTATATTTACCACTAGGCAAAACAGTTATATGCAAAATAAAACTTCTAAAATAAAAATGCATTGAAATACAGCCACACAATTGTCCTTTTCTTTAAAGTTTAGTAAGTTAGCTATATAGTACTAAATAAGTAATAAAATAATTGGGCGAAGTCATTTACAAGAAGTTTTCTATTATTCGAGCCTACAATAAGAACATAGCTCTAAATACTATGGCAATTACCTATGCTTAAACCACAACTTTTGATACGGAAATAAATGTTGGAACGAAATGAAACATCATGAATCATAATGCTCAAGAACAAAATAGTTCTTCAGTAACAATACTTACATGCTGTCCTTTTCAAGACTATTTGTTACTTGATTAAGAAAATCCAAAGTAAACATATGCAGGCATACCTGACAGAAAGATAGTAAAATGATTATCAACACTTATAAAGGATGGACAGTGGAGGGGAAAGGGAATAAGAAGAGACATACATTGCTCCAACAATAACGAAGGCGCCCTGTGCCTTGATTTATTTCAGTAGTCATAGCTGCATCCATTTCACTGTACTCAACTACAGAAAGAGGCCCACCCCTGCCACGCTGAACAAACACTCCAACTTTCTCCTGTGGATATGCCTTTAACAGCAAAGCATAATAATGAAAAACAAAAATGAGGTGCATAATTGAAGTTGAAGAATACTTCTCATTCTGCTAGGGATTGGATAATGCACTGGCATACCTTCCTTACGACCTTTGCAGCAGCAGACACGCCCTTGTCAATGAAATATCCTAGGAATGTTGGATCAGCAACACGGACCTGTATCAAAGAGATTGATTATTCTGGTAAAAAAGGAGATCAATTAAACAGATGGGGAGAGAGAGGCCCCATTACAATATATATTTTTTTAAAAAAAAAGTGTACTCACCAATACATTGTCAACTCCATAGCAATCTACATATTTCACACCTCTTCCAGCCATATCGTCCAGCAACCTTTGAGATTTTAGAGCTGTGGCACAGTAAAAAGAGGAAATAAACAACATAATTGTGGCTAACATCGATAATATATAATTGTTGTATTCTGATACAAGGAATTACCAGCATACACTCCACCATTGCCATCAGGAGCCCTTGCTACCTAGTTTTCAACAGAATGTTGCAAAAGATGTCATTAACCCCAGAAGGCAAGCACCATTCAAGCAAGTTTATTATCACAATACTTGTATTTTGATTAGATAGTCCAATGCTGGTTCACTTGCAACGGAATGATGGAAGAATGGGAGATGAAATAAAAAAATATAAATAAAGCAAGGTAAAAACCTTGTATGGTGTTTCCATAATAAACCTTCCATCAGCTGAGACACATGGGATAGTACCTTGCTGGAAAAATGTTACCTACGAATAAAGAATCAAGTCAAACATAATTCTTAGAAGTTTCATAGGGCAATAGGAGGTCACATGTTGAACTTCACTGGAATTTCCGTTCATAATAAAGAATAAAGTAGTGATCCTTACTTGGTCAGGCTCTAAGCCAAAATATCTGTGGCTTTCAAAAAATTTTCGAGTCGCTTCATCAGTAAAGGGGCTAGTCATTATATACCAGTGTATTTGTGGAGTACCTGGGGTTGCACAAAGTTAACATGTTGAACATGTGATTTTTTAAGAAAGAGTAAAGAAACCATTAATGGCATGCTTGACTAAATTACCATCAGTGGACTGAGCAGCCAGCTTCTGTATGCACAAAATTCGTTCAGCTTGAAGTTGGAAAAGTGACTTTCCAGATGGAAGCCCGATGCCTGAGCAGAAATCAGAGGAAAAGAACACCATGAATCTTAAGATCACTGAAGACTGAAAGCAGACTAAAACGTAGGATATTACTCCAAAAATACTCTATAATCATCAACACAACAGAATGAAAAACAATTGCAGTATAGAATACCAGCAAAGGTTTTTCTCATGAGTAAAAAAGTTTATTTTTATATTGACCATAGGACAATAAGGAGAACATGGAAAAGTTAACACTGAAACTTCCTGTTGAAATATACAATGAGAAAATAATTCTAAAAAATAGTAGGGTACCAAAAAGAGCATTTATCTGTAGTTAAAAATAAATAACATTAATGGCACAGTGGAAGTAGCATGCAACAAGATAAAGTATGACAACTTACTGAAGCATCCCTTAGGATCAGAACTGCCAAGCCTTGTTCCCTGTCCGAAATTGGAGAGAAAGAGGATATGTGAGATTTCATTTCCTGCTATGCGATTCATAGATCTTTTCCAATCATACTTTTCAGGAGTTTTGAGAGTACCTGACCACCAGCCAAAAGGACAACAGCCAATTTCCCCTCTGAAATGGCTTTCAAGCCCCTCTTCCACCACCTCTGCTTGTCCTCAGGAGTTCTATCTTCGACGGTCGAGACACTCGACTCCGGCACAGGCTCGACGGCTGGCAAAGGAACACCTGTGCTCCCGAGCACCATCACATGATCAGAATTCAGAAAATTGCACACGTTACATGGGAAAATGCCTATGGATGGATGATCTCACACCTTGTGATCTGAGCGAGCATCGGACGATCCGGTCAATCCTAGCAAGATCTAGGCTCTGAAATGCAGTTCACGAAGTTGAGTAAGCCAAGGTCAATATCTCACGATACACAAAAATGCATTGCTGTCAATTCACCTTGTGCATGAGATCACAATTAAGCTCAATGTACAAAGGCAGCAACAGTGGGCTGTGTACATCCATTGTGGATGTAGAGGCCGGATTTTAATCCATTTTCTAAAAAAAAAAAACAAAGGCAGCAACAGATGATGAACTACGAATACATACAAGGATCAAGCTAAAGCTAACCAGTAACTATTTCAACTAGGAATTTCTCCATCTCCATGAGATCAGCTGCGCATCTGAATTGCGCCACAATCGCAACGCAAAAAAAAACAAAAAAGAAATCTTTACCAAACATTCGATCAACAAACAGACTAGTGTCCACTCAAAACGGAATCTTTACGCAGAAGTCTCAACTGAGCAACCGAATCTAAAACTCTAAAAAAGAAAACATCAAAACGCGAGGAGAAGCAGCAGCAGCAGCAGCAGGAGCAAGGGATCTCGACCTCGATGTCCCGGACGAGGAAGTCGCGCTCCTCGGGGGCGAGCTCGTCCCAGAGCGCGAAGGCGCCCTCCTGGCCGTAGTCCTTGAGCCTCTCGACCAGCTCCTGCGGCGGCGCGGCGCCCCACCTCCCCGCCGGCGCCGGCGCCCGCGGCGCCACCACGATCTCCGCCATCTCCTCCTCGAGCGAGAGCTAGAGCGAGAGCGAGAGAGATCTGCGAGCGATGGCGGATGGGCGGAGACTATGATGAGATGAGAGTATGATCCAATCTTGGGGAGATTATTAGTAGGAGAGAGGCTGCTGCTGCTGATTGGGTCGTCATTAGCGTTTGTGCGTGCGTGTCAGCGTGAGATGAGGAGAGGAGCCCCACATGGCAATATTAGGGCCTGCTCACTTTGATACCAAAAAAAACTTACTAAGTTTTGTCATTATTAAAATTTTAGCAAGTTGCCAAAAATTTACATAGTTGTTTGGCAACTTGCCAAAATTTTGGTAGGATTTCTTATATAGTTACCAAAATTTGACAGCAAACTAAATGTAATCACTTTTTGGCAACTTTACCAAAATTTGGTAAGGTTGAAAATGGCATCAAATCGAACAGACCCTTATTTCTCAGTTATTATTATTTTTTTATTAAACACAGTACAAACGCAGGAGCTCACAACGCGCACCCCATCCATAAATGACTGGGCCGGCATATCTTGAGATTGACGAAGTCACTAATAATTAGCCCTTTGAGAGCAAGTTTAATAGTATAGCCAACTAGTAACTCTAAATCACTTATAGTCAACTTAATAGTCAATTCATACAATGGTTACTTATAAACTGGGCATTTGTAAATTTGCCACCAGTTTTTTTAAATATTGAAGGATGTCGAATAACAGTTCTAGTGGTATTTTTGTAATTTTCTAGTGGTAATTTTGCAATAACGATTCAAAGTAGTGGTAAATTTGCAATTGCCCTTGTAAACATATATTGCACTATTAATACATGGTCCCACCTTTTATACACATATTGTGTCTAGGAATCCGTGCTGCAGTTGGTTATAAATTGTAGTCCATTGTTCTTCTCTCTCCTCGATATGTGTTTATAGATGGGTTATAGTCTACTATTGTACCTGCACTGAGCATATTTGGAAGACTGGGCTGGTATATCTTGATATTTACGAAGTCACCAATAATTGGCTCAAAATATGAGCATCAGTATCAAATTTAGGATTTGAACCCGGATGGACTGATTCTACTAGTGCAACCTACCCCTAGAAGACTGTCGGCATATCTTAAGATTGATGAAATTACACTAATTAGTCAAAAAATACGAGCATTCGTGTCAAATTTAGGATTTGAACCCGGTGGATTGGTTCAACAACAAAAAAACTTAATTAGCTGAAAATACAAGCATCCGTGTCAAATCTAAAATTTGAATCCGGGTGGACTGGTTCAACCACAAGAAATTTAACCAGCTCATGTGGTGGACTAGTTCAACCACCCGTGTCAAATCAACCACGAGGAACTTAATTAGGGTGTGTTTAGTTCCTGAAAAAAGTTGAAAGTTTGAAGAAAGTTGGGAGTTTGGAAAAAAAGTTGGAAGTTTATATGTGTAGGAAAATTTTTGATGTGATATGATGTGATGGAAAGTTGGGAATAGGGGGAAACTAAACACGGCCTTAGTTGAGCTATGCTTACTTCGTCAATTATTTAATACTCTCTCCATTTCATGTTATAAGACGTTCTAGCATCGCCTATATTCATATAGATGTTAATGAATCTAGGCACACATATATGTCTAGATTCATTAATATATATATAAATGTGGGCAATGTTAGAAAGTCTTATAAGACTGTGTTTAAATCCAGAGGTGTAAAGTTTTGGCATATCACATCAAATATATGGACACACATTTGAAGTATTAAATGTAGTCTAATAACAAAACAAATTACAGAATCCGTCTGTAAACCGCGAGATGAATTTATTAAGCCTAATTAATCCGTCATTAGCAAATATTTACTGTAACACCACATTGTCAAATCATGTCGCAATTAGGCTTAAAAGATTTGTCTCGCAATTTACACACAATTTGTGTAATTAGTTATTTTTTCGTCTATATTTAATACTCTATTCATGTATCCAAATGTTCGATGTAACAGGATGTAAAATTTTGCCAGGATATAAACAGGGCCTAATATGAAATGGAGGAAGTATTTAGGGCCTGTTTTGTTCAAGAAAATTTTCCCCAAAAACATCACATTAAATGTTTAGACATATGCATGAAACATCAAATGTGGACAAAAAAGAAAAACTAATTGCACAGACCGACTGTAAATCGCGAGACGAATCTTTTGAGCCTAATTAGTCAATGATTAGCCATAAGTGCTACGGTAACCCACATGTGCTAATGACGGATTGATTAGGCTCAAAAGATTCGTCTCGTGGTTTCCAGGCGAGTTATGAAGTTAATTTTCTCATTCGTATCTGAAAACCCCTTCCGACATCTGGTCAAACGTCCGATGTGACACCCAAAAAAATTTTTTCCCCAACTATACAGGCCCTTATTATCCCTGATTCTACTTGTGCAGTCAGTAGTGATTCTACTAGTGTCAGTGTTTCATCTGAAAAAATGTCACTGCTTTCTCAGAGCAGGTACAATAGCAGGGTGTAAGCTAGCTATAACCATATTTTAAAGAGATAAAGGAAGAGAGAAGAGCAGCGGGCTACAGATCTGTAGCCAGCTACAGCACAGACTTCAAGATATAACGTGTGTATGACAGATGTGACCAAATATTAATAGTATAGTAAGCAACTATTGTATGAATTGGTTATTACATTAGCTATAGATGATTTAGAGCTAGCAGTGGACTATACTATTAAACTTGCTCAGTGCAGGCAGTAGTGTCAGTGTTCCTCTGAAAAATATGTCAGTGGCTTCTTTCTTTTCACTGGTTAGTGTCAGTGTTTACTGTTTACTGGTGGTGGTTTCGTTTCATGTTGCAAATGCAGTGTTTGACTTGGCGAAAGTTCTAGGAACTTAAAATGAACTTTCACCAGAGTGGATGGTAAACTTATCCCAAGGATTAAAATCCTACTCTACTCCTATAAAAATATAAAGCGTATTTGAATTGCTTTCTACTATTTGTATACATAAATAGTGTGACACTAAAGTACAATAATAAGAAAATGTTTTTGAATATGAATCTAATAACATCAATTTTACAAAATAAAAAAATATGTTCTATAGATTAATTGCTAATGAAAGTATTGTCCTAAAGAAATAAAATATCTTATATTTTTATTCGTAGCTGTCATTTATAAGTCTTTAACAATTTTTTTCGTAGAAGCGTCGCAAGATTTTCAACAAGGTAGTTTCACTATAACTTTCAGCTCAGAGAAAGAGGAAAAACAACTGAGGGGGCAATCGTTATCTTTTCCATCTACATTAGATAATAATAAAGAAATATATTTAGACATACCCTTCTTCAGGTATATAACCAAAAGTTGTTATATTTTGATAAGAGGAAGTAATAAAATAACTCTATACTATTGCAATCGCACCATTAATACATAATACAAGCTGCGAATCAGAATTGCATCAAAGATTCAGCATTGTTGCACTTGAATGCACTGGCACTTTTACTATCCCATCGAAACACAATTCAATACATGTTGGCCTTAAAAGCAAAATTAAAGGGCTCATCATCCGCATGGAAGAATTTATCTCAAATAATTAAGACACTCCATGTGATGGCACATCAGTGAGCTAGCTCTGACAGTATATGGTATGAATATCCCAGCAACTGCACGCAACCAAAAAAAGACAGAAACAACATTGATCCCTCTACTCGACATTCTGTTCTTGAAGCTATGTTAACCCTACAAGGTAACTCTAGTCGGATGTACATTTTGTCTACAAGTTAGAGCAAGATACAATCATACAACAGTTTTACAGCATATACCAGATTAGATCATGAATTACAACATAGTTCTAACAATAAGTACCAGACTTGGGCTTTCCTCTTTAGCATCTTAGCAGGTACATCGTAGTGCTGCACTTTTTTCCTTCTAGGGAAGTCACTTGGGAGGGAACCAACCACCATTGTATAGTTTATCTGACGGATTCGGTGCTGGGAGGCTGGCATGGTCGACTTGTGTAAAGTTTCTAGTATTGTCAAAAGAGGAACTAAAACAACTTGGTGAAGCAGAATAATCTGGTGATGGAGGTTTATTCAAGTCATGTTGAGGGAAGTATTGTTCAACAGCTGAAGTATCATCCAGAACAGGAATGTCACCTCTAAGGGTCTTGAAGGCAAACTCAATGCATGGATCTGACCAGGAATTCCCAAATAGAGATGGCACAGCCAGCCCAGACGGATAGGAGGCTGCTTCAGGATGTGGAGCTCGCGTTGGCTGAGCGGGTGCTGTGGCTGGCACATTTTGGTATTCAACATTTAACGCAGAGCTCACAACAGGTTTTCCATCTGTTTGCATGGAAACCGGTAACTCCTGATTTGCAACATTTCTCCAAAAGCTTGTGGCAGGTGCTTCTTCCGGCTCAGGAGTTAAAGAGAAACCAACTTGCATGATATTATTTTCAGCATAATTTGGCTGTAAGTAATTTGCAGTATTTTCCCCATTGGCCTGTATTTGATTCACAGTTAATGCTTGGATGAACCGTGGCTGATCAGTGGTGCTATCCTGCATAGTTTGTATTTTGTTGACTGTGTCAGCTCGTCTAAACTGGAACTGATTGGCAGTGTTATCCTGAATAACCTGTATATGATTCACAGTATCTGCTTGCCTTGACTGGAAGTGATTGACAACGTTTTCCCTATTGGCATGTATTTGATCCACAGTTAAAGCTTGGATGAGATGTGGCTGATCAGCGGTGCTATCCTGCATAGTTTGTATTCTGTTGACTGTGTCAGCTCGTCTCAACTGGAACTGATTGACAGTGTTATCCTGATTAAGCTGTATATGATTCACAGTATCTGCTTGCCTTGACTGGACGTGATTGGCAGTGTTTTCCCCATTGACCTGTATTTGATTCACAGTTAAAGCTTGGATGAGCTGTGGCTGATCAGTGGTGCTCTCCTGCATAGTTTGTATTCTGTTGACTGTGTCAGCTTGTCTCAAATGGAACTGATTAGCAGTGTTATCCTGATTAACCTGCATATGATCCACAATATCTGCTTGTCTTGACTGAGACTGGTTGGTAATGTATTCTTGTGTAGTCTCCATTTGAAATATGGCGTCTGCTTGGCTCGACGGCAACAGATCGACAGTGTTTCCTAGATCAATCTGTATTTGATTTGCATGGCTTACTTGTGACTCTGACTGTTCAGTAATGTATTCTTGTATAGTATGTATTTCATTGAAAGAGTCTGCTTGGCTTGACTGTAACCGACTGGCAGAACTTTCCTGCTCTGTCTGTATTTGATCCAGAGAATCTGCTTGGCTAGACTGCAACTGACCTGACATGTTCCTTTGATTAGTCTCTATTTGATTCACAGTGGCAGCACGGCTCAACTGTGATTGTGAGTAATTGGTAACGTATTCTTGTCTAGGTCGTATTTGAACAAAATAATCTGTGTGGCTCGACTGTAATTGACTGACAGCATTTTCCTGATCTGTGAGTATTTGGTTCACAGTGTCAGCTTGTCTCAGCTGTGACGAATCTGTAGTGTCCCCCTCCATAACACGTATGTGATTCCCGGTGTCTGCTTGGCTTGACAGCAACTGATTGTCAGCCCTTTCCTGAACAGACGTCATTTCAGTGGAAATGCCTGCTTGGTTCAATCGTGACTTATCAGTAGGATTTTCTTTAGTAGACTGTACCTCATTGACAAGATTTACACCGATAAGTTCATCTTCAGGCTCAGTATTTAAATCATGAGTGATCTTCAGTGAAGCTAAGCGAGGTGATGCTCGGACAGGCATGGCAACCATTTTTGCAGGGACGATTTTATGCTTCTTGGGCTTCCCTCCTGCACTTGGCTGTTTTCTTTTTCTCGGAAAAGATTTCTTTTCCCTTGGAGCATCAACTTTGTAGGCATGTTTTTGAGATGCTATCATGCCCTCCAACTCGGGCATCTTTTTTGGGTTGTTGAGTTCTCTATATGGACTGAGCTGTTCCTCCCACGGCAGCATGAGACCTTCTGAAGTTAGCAATTCACATTGAATGGCCTTGTCGGCGGTACCTGGCCTTGTATGTTGCAACAATGTTGCTGTCTGATTTTCACAAAATGATCTAATAAGTACAAATTGTTGTGAAAAGGGGACATACAAAAGGAAATTTTTGCCATCTTCAAAACACAACTTTGGCCACAAATTTCTATTTAAATATTTTGTTAGTAATTTTTAGGCAGATCTGCACACATGATTTCCATGTATCTAAACGACAATTATTCAAGACTGGAGGGAGTAGAGTCTATAGTAAAATTGAATTCAGAAGGAATCAGAGTTCTTTATCTGATGTAATAGTGCATGAAAACTCTGATTCTTTACGCACGCAAAGAGGGGCAACCAGGACAAGGAGCAGTTGACACTTCACATGTGGCTGATGTCTGAGCTACAAGAAACATATAATTACTAGGGCTGGACTCTATAAATTTTAACCAAAGCAAATATGTTCAATTTGAGGTGTGCATGGTAATTAAGATACCTAGTATTTTTGTTTATTTAATGTCCTGATAGAAGAAGCAAAATGCCCCAGTAACTCAAACCAAGAAGAACTGCAAGGAACTCACATGAGATTGGTTTTCAATAGTACAAGGATCTTGGATAGTTCTCTTTCTTGGCCTTACAATGCATTTATAGATGTCCCCTGATTTAAGAAAACGGTGCACATCCTTCAGAGAGCGAAATTCATATCCACTGACTGGATCAATGTAGTACTGCAGAGATTAAAACAAGGCAAAAATAAGTTTAAGACACAACATTCCTGGAATGCCCTGAAGGCTTTCATTATTAAAGGATCACAAGAGCTAGCAATGCAACATGCATTATAAAGTCAACAAGGGGAACAGTGCCCGCCTAGGCTGACAAACTGATTTTTCCTGCTTAGGCAGTCAGTAACTCGCCTTGGTGGCTGTTGGCGCTAGGTGCTGGCCTGCCATCATACCCGCACCTAGCACCAAAGGTAACACTGGGCACGCTAAAATGTAGGTTCAACTGACAGGAGCACAGGATATGCTCATATAAAAATGTTCACGCTATGAAATCATAATTGACATTTCAAACAAAGACATGCTTCAAATAATATCACAAGTAACACCAGCACCCACATGTGCCACGGAAGAGGATGACTAACAAATTTGGCCTCCTTGGAAATGTGGCGGTTCAGAACAAATGAGCTTATTGTAAAGATGGTAAGTTAACCTATGGATACGACAAAAGGGAACTTTTGCAAGAAACACACAGGCCCTATATTGCTTTTAACTGCTTTTCTTATTGAGATGGTCGCATACGACAGCATACATGCAGCACCTGTAGAATATATTTCTTGGGTGGCTACTCTACCTCAAAATAGAACCAAGATGCAAGTGGAACAATATTGCTGGTTGCAATTATATTAGGCATAGGGTATTGTTGCTGCACAATATTGAGATGAATATGGAGAGTTGAAACTCAGCTTAGAGTTCTTGAGATATTAAGTGCAAGTATCCATAGACATGCTAATGACTTTGGACCGATGCGGTGATTGTGCTGCAGTATGGAATCTGGTTCTTTACTGATTCTAGTAAGATTTAGTTGTCACGGCTCCAAAGAAATGAGTGTTTCAAACAACAATTACTCCCACCGTTCAAAAATATAGTGTGTATTAGGTTTCATTAGGACAAGGCTTTGACCAAAAATTACTCTGTTAGGATCTCATTTTTGTGATAAAAGGCATAATCATAATTCATAAGTACTTTTGAATACAAATCTAATAACATCATTTTTTTTCATATAAATTATACTCCCTCCAGTTTGCACATACTTGCCGTTTCGGACAAGACAGATGTCAAACTTCTAAACATTGACTATGCCCTTCTAAAATATTTACTTCAAAAATATGGACACCATATATATAAGATTAATCTTGAAAATTACCTCAATAAAATCATATATTGTTGATATTTGTACTTTTGTACATATATTGTAATAGAAAACAGAGGTCAAAATTGTTATTTGGAGACCATGTCCATGTGCAAAACAACAAGTATTTGCAAACTGGACATGTCAAAGCCTTGTCCTAACGAAACCTAAACACCTTATATTTTTTAACCGAGGGAGTAGTTCACAGTTAGAATCAAATAAGCACTTTGAACCGAGCCTTAGATGTATTGTTTTAGGCAGAAATTAGCAAGAAAAAAGTAACACATTGCAGCATACCGGATCAGTCTTCAGATTTGATCCATTCTTCCTTGGTCTGTCCTCTTTCCACCATCCATCAGGAAGCCCATCAACAATTAGATCATCCTTTCTTTGAACCTAGCAATGAAATAATTAGAGCTAGTTAGATATATCTTTTTCAGATAAGGAGTAAGAGAAAATGGATCATTACAGCATACCAGCTCATTCTTGTGATTTGATACATTCTTTTCCGCACTGTTTTCTTTCCATTGTCCACCGGGAAGCCCATTGATGCATGCTTCACCCTTGGTTTGAACCTATAATGAAATAACAAGTATATTGGTTTAGACAGAAAGGCGCAAGAGAAAAAGGGTCATGATAGCATGTTGTTTACTCGGTTTAGATAGAACTCAGCAAGAGAAAAAAGGGTCATGAATCATGACAGCATACCGGGTCACTCATGTACTTTGACCCATTCTTTGTTAGCATGCCTTCTTTCCACCATCCATCAGGCCCCTTCATGACTGGTTTATCACTATTTTCAACCTAAGAATAAAATAATTATAATGACAAAGTGAAGTGTTTTAGATAGAAAAGGCAAGACAAAAACAAGGATCGTTACAGCATACCAGATTACTCTTGTGATTTGGTTCATTCTTTCCTGGACTGTCCTCTTTCAAACAGTCATCAGACAGCCCATTCATGGCAGCTTCATCCTTGACTTGAACCTAGCAACGAATATAGAGTGGTCATCATTGACATATATGTCATGTTGCACTTGGAACAAATGAAAAGGGGTAGATGAAGTTAGAAATCTGCATACCATAAAGGGCTTTCTTCTGACAAGCCCACTTCGAGTTCTAGAGCATGAACTGTCACTGTAATCCATCTGGATGCTTTCTCTGACAAGCCCACTTCTTGTTCTTGAACATGACCCCTCTTTGGAACCCACAATGATGTTTCCTCTAACAAACCTGCTTGGAGTTGCAGAATATGAACCATTACTGGCAGCCACAGTAGTGTTTCCCCTAACAAGCCCACTTCGTGTTTTAGAGGATGAACCTTCACTGAAATTCATAATGTCACCTCCCCTAACAAGCCCACTTCTTGTTTTAGAGGATGAACCTTGATTTAAACCCACAATGCCATCTCCCCTAGCAAGCCCACTTCGTGTTTTAGAACATGATCCCTCATTGGAATCCAAAGTGGCATTTCTTCTAACAAGCCCACTTCGTGTTTTAGAACATAAATCTCCCACGTTGGAATCCACAACGCCATTTGCCCCAGCAAGCTCACTTCGTGTTGTAGAATATGAACCTTCATTGGATCTCACATTGGTGTTTCCCCTAATAAGCCCACTTCTTGTTTTAGAAAGCGAAACCTCATTGGACTCTACAGTGCTGTTTATCCTAACAAGCCCACTTCTTGTTTTAGAAAACAGAACCTCATTGGACTCTATAGTGTTGTTTAACCTAACAAGCCCACTGCATGTTCTAGAACATGAACTGTTGCTGTAATCCATAATGTTTTTCCCCTGACACTTGGTGTTCTAGAACATGTGAACTCCTGTGGAGGTTACTTCAGTTCACAAGGACCTGTTCAATCACAACAAAATATAAATAAATAAAATTTCCTGAAGCCACAGAAGAGAACAATAAATTCATTCCATAAAATCAAAATAGTCTGATGATGACGATGATGCCCGATTATTTGTCAGGCCCAATGTTTTCAATTTGTCCGACTAATCGCGATTAGTGTCCTGGCCGGTACTAAGGTGGCTTGATTCTAACCACGATTAGTTGGAAAGTCACTCGATTAGTTGTTATTAGTCACTATTAGTCATCCTAGTCAGTATTGAGGCGACTAGACTGTCTTTCCAATTTAAACACATTGCTCAGAACTAATATTTGAAAAAAAAAAGCTAAAGAGGTACTGTTACGAAAATACTTTGTTCATTAAGATTTGCAGAGATTAACGATGATGATAATGTTTCTGGATTACCACTCAAGTAGAGAGAAAATTAGACAAGCTATATGGTGCACAAATCATAATTTAGTACGACAGATAAGTAATTGAGGTGGTCGCATGTCTTAGCCTTCATAAGGACATTCTTTCCATCTTTCTGTGCCCAAATAAGGAAAACAGGCTTCCAAGAAATTGCAACCTTCTGCAGCCCCACTTAGCCTTATCTATCAAAAAAGGGAAGCCATACTATTAAAGAAACAAGTTATTCTCCTCGATCTCCCATAAGGTTAGAAATCCAGTGCCACTAGTCACTTAAAACTAGTAGTCCGCAATTCTTTTTTTTTCCTGATGGGCGCATAAATCCCTACCTATTTTCCATTGGTTCATAGGAAAAAACTGTTCATAGCTTAAGAACGAGCCTCAACTCAAAAACCGTGTGGCACAAACTATTAAAAATAACAAAAATATAGCTAGTGGCGGACATAACGTGGGGATATTGGGTGGTGTGGGGCAAAGAGGGGAAGGCAATCGGATCCCCAATTTCTCTCTTTTCTTTTCTTGAGATGCCATGGAGGGTTAACACTATCACACTACGGCATAAGCTTGACAAATCCGCAATCAGGTTAAATGATTCACCGATTCAGTGGAGTAGAAAGCCTCTCAGCGTGCCACAACACAATTTCCCCCAAAATAAATTCAAACGAGCTAGGGATAATCACCATAAGAAAATCACAGAAATCAACAACGTCCGGGTGGATTCCCCCAACTTTACCCGCGACGACTACTCCGAGGCGGTCGAGAGGATATACCTTCGAGGAGGAGGAGTCCGCGGAAGAAGCAGGAGGAGGAGCACCCGCACAGGCACGCCCAGCGGAGGAACGGATCGACCCTCCCTCGCAGCAGCAGCGGGAGAGGAAAACCCTCGGAAGCAAACCGAGCGGCAGTCAACGAAGGGACGGACCGGAGAGAAGCGGATGAGGAGGAGGAGGAGGACGGGGTGGGGGGGCCTCGCCGTCGCTGGCCGCCGCGGCTAGTGGTCGGATGGTGGTGCGGCCATGGCTAGGGTTAGCGAGCGCGCGGGGGGGAGCGCGTGCGTGGAGAGGGGGTTGAAGAGAAGAAAAAGGAGGGAGACCTTTTTTTTTTTTCTTTTTAGGCTTAGCGAAGAAGAAGACGAGGTGGGTGGTGGTGAGGTGAGGTGGTGACTTGGGTGAGTGAAGTGAACCAGTGAGGTGGTGTGGTGGGGCGCCACGTATGCAACGTTGAAGTGTATGCAGGCTCACTGTTACTCTGATGAACCCACTTACTGACAGTGTGCTTACCAGAAGTTTCACAAACCACCGGGGCCGAGGTTATCGCGCTCGGCCCTAGCGGTAAGCATGGTTACCGTGTTAACCATGAAAAACTGTATGAAACCGTGCAAAATTTATCAAAAATTCAAATCATTTTTTAAATTTATTTGAATTTAAGGAGGTTATCGCGGTTTTTCTATTACCGTACCCACGCGGTAAGGCCGGTAACCGCATGCTTGCCGACAATAATGTAAACCCTGGTGCTTACTGGCTGACACGCCATGTTTAGTCGTCGTAGCAATACTTAGGCTTCCTTCGCCCAAGCAAAGTTCGAAACTTTCTTTCCTCTACGTTTACTACTGCGTTCGATTGTTGCTTTTTAGGCTGTGTTATTCTCCCTTTTTTAAACTCACCCCTCTTTTTTCCGCGCGTATGTTTTTTCAAACTGCTAACTAATATGTTTTATGTAAAAGTTTTCTATAGAAAATTTACTTTACAAAATCATATTAAACTATTTTTAAAGCTCTTTTAGGCTAATACTTAATTAATCACAAGTTAATAGGTAACCCGTTTTCCGTTCGGGAAGACTAAGCCATAGATGAGGTACAATAGCATACTATAAACCAGCTATAAACGCATATCGAGGAGATAAAAGAGGAAAGAAGAAGAGCGGTGTGTTACAGATTTGTAACTAGCTGCAGCACGGGTTGCATGAAGCAATGTGTGTATGGGTGGGACCAAATATCAATAGTGTAGTACCCCTCCGTCCCATAATATAACAACCGTGTTCGCTAGAGGCTGTTCCCAACTAGAACAGTGCGCACGAAAAACGGAACGGTCCATTAGCGCGTGATTAATTAAGTATTGGCTTTTTTTTCAAAAATGGATAAATGTGATTTTGTTAAGCAATTTTAGTATAGAAACTTTTTGCAAAAAAAAAACACCGTTTAGCATTTTAAAAAGCGTGCGCGTGGAAAACAAGAGAGATGAGTTGGAAAACCTGAGATAAGAACACAACCTAAGATTGGATGGGATATTTCATAGTGCAATAAATCTAGACAGGAGGCATGTCTAGATTCGTTGTACTATAAAACATCCAATCATGTTCTAGGTTACTAAATTATGGAACGGAGGAAGTATATGTTTATAGATAAGTATTGTATGTATTGGCTATTAAATTAATTATAGATGATTTAGAGCTAATAATTGGTTGTACTATTAAACTTCTCTTAGAGGTCAGTTTTGCTGTCACGCGAAACAAGATAGACCATTATTAGCGTATGATTGATCAAGTATTGATTATTACGAACTTAAAAATGGACTTGTTTAACTTTTTTAAAGAACTTTTATATAGACAACTTTTGTAAAAAACACATTGTTCAGTAGTTTAGGAAACGTGTAAAAAAAACGAGGAAGTTGTAGCTTAGATTTGGAGCTTTAGAGCAGGGAAAAATGATGCACTCGTTATCTTATACTCCCTCCGTCCTACTACAAGTATAATATAATACATACATGACATATATACTACGAATTTAGACAGGCAATTGCCATATTCAAATTACTTTGTGTTTTACTCTATTCTAGGCGGTGCTCTTTTGGAGGGGTTCGCAATTAAGTAGTAGCTACAAAATTTTTTTGAAAAATGGATTAATATGATTTTTTAAAGCAACTTTCCAATATAAACTTTTTATAAAACATGTACCGTTTAGTAGTTTGAAAAGTGTACACGCGAAAAACGAGGAAGATGGGTTGGGAACCCATGGGAAAGAACACAGCCTAACCCAAACACCTATATATCTCACCATTATAATTTCTAAAAACTTATATATCTCTAACCATTAATTTCTAAAATTTTATATAGTTTTAACATCGGTGCTCCAAGGACAGTGGATGCACCAACGGCACCTGCCTGCTAGCCACCGCCGGCGCTGCCGGAGGCGAGGTCCCTCCGGCGAGCCGGCCGGCGATGGCACCGCCGATGCATGCTCAAGCCACCTACATGTACAAGATGCTTCTGTATGTGTAGCTAGCAGCCTAGCACACTGGGCTGACAAATAAAAAAGATGGGTACCTGTGCTGCTGTGCGGCTTGCAAACTCGCATAGAGAATTTTAGAATGAGTACGAGACATCCTAATCTTATTATCACCATGAATCTTATTGCAAAATGTCAAGCTGATCAAATTCTGTCACACCAGTGGCAGGCAGCCTAGTACAAGCCGTCAAGAGTTTTTCTCAAGGTGATCAAACGCTGGTCGATCTGCATGCTCTTGTGATACAGAAAGAGCGATCGATCTGACATGCCCATGTTTTTTTTCCTTTTTTTGCAGGAAGATCAAGGTTCATGAGGCTAGCTAGCTCAGTGCCTGAAGTGCCTGACGCCGGTGAAGAGGAGGGAGACGCCGTACTTGTTGCAGCAGTCGACGGCGTCGCCGTCCCTCATGCTGCCGCTCGGCTCCGCGATCACGCCGATGCCGTTCTGGCACGCCTCCTCCACGGCGTCGTTCCAAGCTGTCGTTGCATTGTAAGGAAGGCATCAACGAACACGAAAAATGTGATTCTTACAAAATGTGACAACATTGCAAAGCTGTTCTTGTAGTGTGTGTGACAGAACGTGCAAGGAAGTAATCGTTGAACATGGTAATGGTGGTTGCAATGGTAAAATGTAATTCTTAAAAAGAAAAGAGAAGTATTTCATGATTCAGAACCTACGGATGCTGGTGGCTTGGTCATAAATCAAACATAAATTCAACTACTACTGATCAGCAAATGAATGTTTCAGAACCTACATATGCTGGTAGCTTGGTCATAAATCAAACATAAATTGAACTACTACTGATCAGCAAATGAATTGGCTCAGAACCTACAGATGCTGGTTGCCTGGGTCATAACTCAAACATAAATCCAACTATTAATGAAGTTTGCATTATCATTTTGTTTTGATTGCCACTATGTTAATGTTGTGTGCAAACAAATTCAGGAAATTATCAGAGTCCAGATTTTCCAGTAATGCAACATTTGTTCTTACCGAATGGGAAGAATGCATCACTGGCCAAAGCAGCTCCTTTGGCCTCCTCTCCTGCTTTCCTGAAAGCAATTCTCAGACTCTCCAGTCTGTTTGGCTGGCCACTTCCCATGCCTAACATGCAGTTATTCTGAGGATAATCCACAGCATCATGTTAGTCCACCAAATCAACAAATTATTTTGTTCATGTAGCAGAGGCAAATATACTGACCTTGGCTATCACAATGGCGTTACTCTTTACGTGCTTTACACAAAGCCAGGCAAATTTGGCATCAGAGAGCTCACTGTCTTGAGGAGCTCTCTCGGACACTGTTGTGAAGGTGATATCTTCAGGGGTTAGATCATCAGACTCTTGAGCCAACCAGCCACCACTGACTTGCCTGAGTGATAGCATCCCTTTTCCACTTCTCTTCGCCTCCAGTATCCTCAATGTCTTTGATTTCCCTTTGAGGATCTCAAGACCCTTTTCTGTATAGCCGGGTGCAACAACAATCTCGTAGAACATTCGCGTCTGTCCATCTGTAGGGCTCCTGAATTCACGGATTTCTTTTGCAAGATCCTGAAACATGATATAGTGTGAATAATGGTCATGCCCAACAACACAAGTGTTTAGAGGCAAGAAGTCTACTGGATACCTCATCAATTGTCGTATTGAAAGCAACTATCCCACCAAATGCACTAACAGGATCTCCCTTTACAGCCAACCTGTATGCTTCAAGAATATCCTGTCGGGATGCTACTCCACATGGATTTGTGTGCTTAACCACAACACACGTAGGACTCTCAAACTCTGATACACAGTTCCATGCAGCATCCGCATCTAAGTAGTTGTTGTAAGACATTTCCTGTAACAGAAAATGTCATATGTAAACACAAGAAACGTCACATTACTGGTACAACATGAGTTCGCAAAGAGTGGAAATGGCCAGAAACAGGTTATATGTACTGAAAAAAACAAATACTAAAGTCAGATAAACATGCAAGTAGTAAAAATCAAGTTGAAAGAGATATTTTTTTGTAAGTTACTATCCGTGTTTCATTTTAGTTGAATGAAAGGAGGCATGATTTTCTCACCTTCCCATGGTGCTGAATTGCTGTTGCAATACCACCAGCATTAACTACAGAAAGACTCTTGTCCCCATAGAAGGCAGCTTTTTGATGAGGATTTTCACCATAACGAAGTGTAGATTTCAGGGACAGGGGCACGGTGAAGTTCGGGGGGAATACATCTCCTACATGAGAACATGATAGTGTAATGATATCTGAGGAAATGTTGACAAAACCATCATATATAAACTAGATCATTACAAAAAGTTAGTGTTAATACCTTTGTTCGATTGCTTCCACAACCATTCTGAGACAGCTGAATCATAAGAAGCGACATGTTGGAAAGCTTTCCATGCTAGCATCTTGCGGAATTGCTGGTCATCTTGTTTTCCTTGCAGATACTCTAATAGAGCAGGGTAATCTTCATGATCCACCATAACAAGAACATCCTTATGATTCTGTCAGGCACAGGAACACATCACAATTGAGCAACAATAGAACTGTTCCTATCAATGAACAACAAATACCATCTGTATAAATAGATGGGAAATCCATTTACATATGTCAACATGATATCAAATTTGTATGAAGATATCAATCCCCAAGCTAACTAAAAAGTCTCAAGAACCAATAAATCACCTTAGCTGCTGCTCGGATCATCGTAGGTCCACCGATATCAATGTTTTCAATGCCATCCTCGAAAGAAATTACACCAGAGGTGACCTTGTTATAGAATGGATACAAGTTCACCACAACCACATCAAATGTCCCTGTGCCCAAAGGAAAAGGTCCTAGTTAACTGACAATACTTCATCACATTAACTCTTTACAATGTTCGAGAGAAGATAAGTCAGTAACACAAATGAACTAACAATCTCACCAATGCCATGCTCATTCAATGCCTTAAGATGATGCTCCTGGTCTCTTCTTGCAAGAATACCACCATGTACACTGGGGTGCAATGTTTTAACTCTACCATCAAGCTGAATTTACCAAATGTGAACCATTGGATAAAATGAAATTTATTTGCAGTCAGTGCAAACATATCTAATTAAGGGACAAAACTGAGTAACCAACAATGATAAACGATGCTAGGAAGCAACATATATTTCAAGAAATGTAGGAGTAAAATAAAAATTAGGTTATACCATTTCAGGAAAATTTGTAATTTGTTCAACTTTTGTAACATTAACTCCAGCTGCTTCCAGGCTTGATGCTGTGCCACCAGTCGAAATAATAGAAAACCTACAGTAGCAAAATGTCCATAAGATGATCATATACTAGATTGAAAAAGAATCAACAGTAGAAATCTAATCATGGTTCATCCTTTATAAAATCATGTTTCGTTATCCTGATCCAAATTGTCAGCCTTAAAATTATGCAGCTGGGGAAGATAAACTGCAAGAAGCTTATTATGGCGAATAAAGCCTAACTTTACAAAAGGGCAAATATGATAATTTACTACTGGTCTACTGCTTGATATAGGAATTTGATATACAACAAATAGTTCCATGGTGATGATGAGAGAAGCTTTAAAGCACAAAATTCAAATATTCTAAAGTGAACTTGACAGCAAAACCACAACTGTTAAATATAAAACCGAAAAGGGGAGCATCCCACAAGATGAAAGGTTTACCCCAAGGCTTGAAGGCCATTCCCAAGATAGGCCAAGTCTGTTTTATCCGACAATGATATCAGTGCTTGTTTGACTCCTGCTGTGTTAGGAACTTATTATTAGCTCACACATTGAAATATATCTTTATGTCAAGAATGAGAAAACACAAAAATCAATGGGCGTATAGAAATCAACAGGAGTACAGGGCCAAAATTGATTTGTTCAAAATAAATCTAATCATGGTTCAAAATAAACTATAATAAGAAGCTTATTACAGAGAATAAAGCCTAACTTTGCCAAACAGCAAATGATAAGTTCACTGTTCGATATAGGAACTTGTTATTAGCTCACACATTGAAATACATCTTTGAGCATGCTGCATGAATCTACTCTTTGAGAGAACATAGAAAATAATGGGAATAGAAAAAACAACGGCACCAAATTTATCTGTTCAAAACATTCAACCAATATAAACAGCGCAACAAATCAAACATATCTACATGGATTTCTGGATGGAACTAAAATAAACCAGTACAAAAGGATCTCAACGGAACATAGTCATCAACTAGAATATGGCGTGCAAAGTGCTAAATTTTAAAATTCACACGTATGAATTTTATATCGAATGGTATTATACAAGAATATAGGCATTGAAACACCAAAGCCAACTAACTGTTGTTAAGCATGCTGCATGCATTTAAGCATTTAGAACACACATATTTGCCCCCCTTAAAAAAATTATACTCCCTCCGTTTCAAAATGTTTGACACCGTTGACTTTTTAGCACATGTTTGACCGTTCGTCTTATTCAAAAAAATTTGTGAAATATGTAAAACTATATGTGTACATGAAAGTATATTTAACAATGAATCAAATGATATAAAAAGAATAAATAATTACTTAAATTTTTTGAATAAGACGAATGGTCAAACACGTACTAAAAAGTCAACGGTGTCAAACATTTTGAAACGGAGGGAGTATATCCTTGCAACAATTGGACACTACAGCTTTTCTGTCAGTGCAGTTTTGCAACAAAAATGCAACTTATTCTTTCCGCGTTAGGGTTTTGTTGGGGTTTAAGTGATTTAAAACACATAGCTCCTGGTCGAACAAATCCCCCAATACTAGCCAATGTGCATCTATCCATCCGTACATTGCACTACAACCAGCAAAGTAAAAATTCACTCTAATCACACACACACACACAAATCAATCAATCTTATGGCATGGAAAATATTATCGGACACCCTTGCATAACCTCCAGCATTTCATGAAAAAAGAAATCAATAATTTGCACTTTGGCCCGAAAACCAAACCAAGAAAAGAGAACAAGCAGAGGCGTATACACCCACCGCTCGACTTAGCCTGTGTCGCCGTCGACGCACCGGCCTCCGCCGCGGCCATGGCCCGCACACCCGCCGCACGCCCCGCCGACGACGAGGACGACAAGCTGAGGACGCGGCGGCTCTGCACACAAGAAAGGGGTAAAATACCAAACCAGACCAGCCACTGAGCTTGCGGAAGCAACGAGCAAAAGGAGAAGAGAGAAAAAAGCAGCAGCAGCTCCAGAGCCAGGACGAGCTGGGGGAGGAGGAGGAAAGGAGGGAGAACCTGGTGGTCAAGAGCGCGGGGGAGGAGGTGGCGCGGGGACGCGCGCACGCCGGCGCAGACCTTGGCGGCGGCGGCGGCGGCGGGAGAGGAGGCGAGGTTGAGTGGCATTCTCGTAATTTCGTGGCCTCCTTTTCTCGGGGGCGGATTTGTTTTGTCGCGTATCTCTCTCCCTCTGCTCTGTGAGTGCGTGCGTGGGAGATAAAAAGGGTCGCGATGCGGTTTGATGGGCTTTCTTTTCGTAGATGGGCCAAACACATGGTCCCAAGATGGACCGGGCCGATTTATGAGCGCACAAAGGAATAAGTCCACTTTGACTCCCTTAAAAGTGACCCGAATCTAATCCGTGACTCTCAACCGTAAAACCGGATAGGACGACTCCCCGAATTATTGAAACCAGTACAATTTGACTCCCTCAGCGGTTTTGGAGTGTGGTTTTGCTGATGTGGCGCTGACGTGGCGATATTGACCTAGTCTACGTCTCACGTAGCGCTTACGTGGCAATAGAATAAAAAAAATCTATGGGACTCATATGATATTCACACATAAAAAATATTATGGGTCCCACTGATTATGTGGGACCCACATGTTATCCTCTATGTTCCTCTTCCTCCTCCCTCTCTCCCTTCTCTCTTTCTCTCTCTTGGGCAATCTGTGGGCAGGGGCGGCGACGTCGGCGGGCGAGGGCTGGAGCAGCGTCGGGCTGCGGCTCATGCTACTAGGTACGAAACTGGTCAGATTTTAGCGTCGCAACGAACCAGCGTTCCAATTAGCAAGGGAGTAGCTATATTTATGGCGCCATATTTTTCATAAAAAATAGTCGGCATGCATTTACATTGTAAGTCCCTAAATTACATATGTAATTTTAGTGTATTTACAATGTAAGTTCTAAAATTACATATGTAAGTTATAAAATTACATATGTAGTTTTAGTGTATTTACCATGTGAATTGCAAATTACATATGTAAGTAGATATAAATAGAAGAGATGCTAGTGCAAATTCAATGGGAAACTAATGTATAACAGGAGCAACATGTTCGTAGTACAGAGAGATCAAATAACTACAGACTTAGCAAATCAAACGTTCGTTAAGTCAATCATTAACAGTGCAACATGAATCTACATGATATCCAAGGGTCAGATTAACCGACTGTGATCAAGCTAATTTTATGTCGCCATAAATATAGCATGTCCGAATTAGCAATCATTTGATTTGATTGGTCAGGAGGTGCTACTCCATTTTTCTACATTAACATCGAGACGGTGATCATCACCAACATGAACTACTACCCGGTTGGCTGTTGCCAGCTACCACTTCGACCTGAGCGGCACGGCGTTCGGCGCCATGGCCAAGCCGGGGCTCAACGACAAGCTCCGCCACTCCGGCATCATCGACATCCACTTTAGGCGTGTGCCGTGCAACTACCCGGGGCTCAAGATAAACTTCCACATTTAGGAGGGGTCCAACCCGGTGTACTTCGCCGTGCTCGTCAAGTACGAGGACCTCGACGGCGACGTCGTGCAGGTCGACCTCATGGAGTCCAAGTCGGCGTACGGCGGCGCCATCGGAGTGTGGACACCGATGAGGGAGTCATGGGGCTCCGCATCGGCAGTGACATCGGCAAGACCCTTTGTCACCAACAACGTCATCCCAGCCATCTGGTCTCGAATCGCGCCATCACTGCCTCCGTCACCCCTTCCGCGCCGACCTCGTTCCGCGCTCGCCCACTGCCGCGCCTCTCCCGCCTCGGTCTCTCCCTCTGCCCGCGCCTCCCCGACGCCACCCTCGCCGCGCTCACCGCCGCACCGTCCATCTCGCAGTCGACATCTCCTGCTCTCGGGGATTCCTGCTGCTGCGCTTGTCGTTGCATGCCCGAATCTGAATGATCTCGACTTCTCCAATGACCACTATGGCTCGACCTCAGGAATGCGGCGGCGGCGGAGGTGGCCAAGGTGCGTCGCCTGCAGAGGGAGAGACCGAGGATGACATGTGGGCCCCCACATGTCAGTAGGACCCACAATATTTTTTTCGTGAATAATAGATGGGTCATACAGATTTTTTTTTTTAATTCTAATGCAACGTAAGCGCCACATGGGACCTGGACTAGGTCAACGTCGCCACGTCAGCGCCACATCAGCAAAATCACCCTCCAAAACCGCTGAGGGAGTCAAATTGCACTGGTTTCAATAGTTCGGGGAGTCGTCCTATCCGGTTTTACGGTTAAGGGTCAAGGATTAAATTCGGATCACTTTTAAGGGAGTCAATGTGGACTTGTTCCGCTCACAAAATGCTAAAAAATTCACAAATATTTATCCCTTCAAAAACCAAATTGGCTGTGTTCGGCTGGGCTAGCTGCTGCTACAATTGTTGTGACTTGCTGGAGCCTGCTAATGGCCTAAGACCCGCTCCATTCCCAATCCACACCACAACAGTCAGATCAAATAGTTCAAACCAACCCAACCCGCAAATCTCCTTTCAGAACCCAAACCAATCCAATCCATTTCTCACCTCAGCCCAAACCGCACCAATCCAATCCCTTCCTATGGATTCAATCCACCTTGTCAAACCATTCTAGACCATTTAGAATCCACCTTGACTACAAATCCATTTGATTCACCATCAACTAGAACATGCAGCGTGCTCGGCGAGGAGCCCTGCTCCGTGGCATGATCGTCTGGATGGGCTCGGCGGTGTGATGGTGCCGGCGTGCTCGACAACGACGGGGAAGGAGCGTGGAGCCGGTGGAATCGAGCAAGACGAGGTCTCCGGCGCGGCGAGAGCAGCAGCTACATGTTTCCCTATGTAGAAGCAGTCAGCGCACGACGGCGAGCCTGGCATTCATGGTGCCGCCGCCATGGTTTGCGTCGACCTCGCCGGCCATCACGGCGTCGCGCGCAGCCTGAACGGCAACAGCAAGCCGAGCACGCGGTGGCCGCGATGCAGCTTGTTAATCGACCAGGAACATGCACCGTCTGTCGCCGTACTTCCGGGCGAGGCCTGCGCGCGGCGGCATGAACGCTCGTAAGCGTGAAGCGTGGGTGTACGTCGCCACCGTCGCCGCCACCAAAGCTGCTGGAGTGGGTCGTCCACGACTATGAGACCTGATCTAGTCTGTTTAGTTGAAACCATTCACAATCCATGGGTTCAATCTATGGACTGAATCCATGTTGTACTCAGAAAATCGTAACCATCACCAAACCACCCCAAACCTCTTTTCTGGTGGATCCAAACCAATCTTCAGTCCAACCAAAGCACACCCAGATACAAAACCAATCCATTCAACCCATTACTTGCTGCAGTTGGCTGCCGGTTTGAACAGCCGCAGCCGCAGCTAGTGCCTCCGAACAAGTCCATTATAAGCAAAATTAATTTTTCACATTTTCATGCAACTTTCCTCGAATCTCTGCCATGATTTGCATGATTTTCACGTCGACTAGAAAAACAAAATAATGAGCCCATACACTCAAGGGTTCACCTTTCTGATTGAGCGTAGGATCTTTGATCCAAGCGATATGATAATTTTCGTCAAACTTCAAGAAACTTCTACTCTCTCCGTCCGTGAATATAAGAGATTTTGATATTTTGTTTGCACCGTTTGACCATTCATCTTTTTTTTGGAGGTTATTCAAAAATTTTTGAAATTATTATTTATTTTATTTGTAACTTACTTTATTATCCAAAGTAATTTAAGCATAATTTTTCATTTTTTATATTTATACAAATTTTTTTAATAAGACAAGTGGTCAAACGTTATATTAGAATAGTGAATATCCCTTATACTCACGGATGGAGGGAGTATATAATCTATGTCGAATTTGTTATTTCAAAATTATATTCTCGAAAACCATTCGAAATTTCCCTCCGAATCTTCTCCCGTTCCAGGTCGAAACCTCTAAATTCGATCCAATTTTGTTAAAATTTTCACGGTTTCGAATCGGTTCTCGCCCAAACAAAAACCTTCACATCCACATCCGCATCCACTCCCAGCCTGGCCGAGGAGGCACTGCGCGGTGGGCCCCACATGGCAGCGACGCCCCCCTGACCCCACTCCGCAAGACACGCGTCCGCTCCACGAGTCATAGGCGAGGTCTCCTCCCTTCTTCCGCCGCGCGTCGCCTTCTCCTCCTTCCTAACCTAGGGCTCCGATTTCGCCAGGTGTTGCCCATCGCGACCGCGCCACCGCCGCCGCCGCCGCCACCGCCACCGCCGCCGCCACCGCCACCGCCACCTGCCGGTAAGCGAGCGGCGCCACCCTAACCCTGACCCCGTCGTCCGTCCGGGGTCGTCGGGTTCGTTGTTGATTCTATTTTATTTATTTTTTTATCTCTTCTCTTGCAGTTGTGTGGGGTTTTGGGGGGGTTTTGGCGATGGAGATGGTGATCGGTGCGGTTTTGCTTTCCTCGTGGGGGAGGGTTTTTTTCTTTTTTTTTATTCTGTGGTTTGCGATGGATTGGTGGTGATGTTGATGTTGGAAGGACGATTTTTTGCTCGTTGATCGCGATTCCCCGCGCACTTTGTGTTTGGATCAAACAGAGGCGGGTCTTTGCCCTCGTACTGTTCGTTCACCATTCGCTCGATCGACAGAAGAAGAAAAAAAGAAGTGCAGAAAGCGATGGATGGAGGAGGGGACAAGGCAGAGACAGAGATAGTTCTCATGTTTCACTTTTAAAAAAAAAGTATTTTCTTTTCCTCTAGTGGTGGGAATCCAATTAATTTCAATTTCGATCGAAAGTACACAAGGATGATATGATCGGTCTTTGTCAATCACTAATCCTGAACTTAGTCGTAAAAGTATCTGTTTCGAGAAATAGAAAAAAAAAGGGACTTTCTTTCGTTTGTTCGTTCAAAAATAAGATTTCCTTTTTCCTGGATTACCGTTCGTAAATTCACATCGCTTTTGCTTTATTCGAACACCAAACTTTCTTAGGTTGAACAGTTATTCCATCACCTTCTCTGCATATATTGTAGTGTTAAGAACTCAAGAGGCATATGTGCAGGTTATTAAATATGCCTGTTGAATTACAATTGCACAGAACAAAGCATATCTGATAAATCTGTTAACCAGAATGAGACTATGAGTGATTTTGTCACGTAGGCTAATGCAAAGGTCATGGATTGTGCATGGTTCTCATAGTAGCTAGTCAATCCACTAGTTTGTTGGACCAGATAATTTATTTATATCATGATGTGGTGCCCTGTGCCCACACCACATGGCTACATGTGATTCTGCACTTCTTCATGCTCCACAATGCTGTATGAGCACCTGAATAGCTCTGCTCTGCGCCGCTGCACGCCATCTGGGAGGCCTACTTTTCATGCTTTTCACTCCGCAAAAACTGGCAGATATGAGTGATATGCTGAATTGGTCTTGGGCTGTACACTTTCTCTGACAGTACAGGTAGAGTTTCATTTGTTTGTGGATTGCTTGATGATAACCAATGGAGGGCTCCTGTTGATCCATGGCAGCTGCTATCTTTCTTTCATTGATTTCTGCCGGATAGGACTGAGCCTTTTCTCTGTGTGCATTACTGTAGTATTAGTGTGGCATAGACTGTTATTTTACTTATTTGGAAAAAAATGGAGGATGGAACAATGAAATATATTCAGAAATATCACTATTTTTGTATACCGTACATTTAATGCTGTAGCATCGTTCTGCCTTCATATTATATATCGTAGTTTTTGCTCATTTGGTTTCTTGACTTCATTTATCACTATATATCGAATTATCACTATCCTGTTGCTCTCGTAGCTGGAAGTTGTAAGCTTGGAGTAGTTTTATATAGTAATTCATGCAATACATTGTTGGTTAGTCTGTTTACACATTTTCCCTCAATTTCTGGAGGTGCAACATTTTTCATTCTGGATTTGTGAAGAAACTGGACTTTAGTCGTTTTCACTCACCTGTTATCATCCTTACTGTATTGTAGTTCTAATGTTTAAATTTGGACATTGCTGTATTGTTGAACTGACTAGTTTGTTTTCCTTCTGTAAATGACAGATCCTACAGCAGTTGCATAGGAGTACATCTTTAGAAATGGACCCACATTCACACAAGAAGGCACATGAAGGTCTGATTGGTGACAACCCTGACGCGTATGCCGTGACGACATACCAACCTGTGCTGATGGTAGAACCATCAGCCGCTGCTGCCTTCCCTCCAGCTCCCCAGGTTGCTCCAGCCTATCCAGTGAACCCAATGCAGCTTCCAGAGCATCAGCAGCACGCAATCCAGCAAGTTCAGCAGCTCCAGCAGCAGCAGAAGGAGCAGCTCCAGGCGTTCTGGGCCGACCAGATGGCCGAGGTTGAACAGATGACTGAGTTCAAGCTCCCCAACCTCCCGCTTGCAAGGATCAAGAAGATCATGAAGGCCGATGAGGACGTCAAGATGATCGCGGGCGAGGCACCGGCGCTCTTCGCCAAGGCCTGCGAGATGTTCATCCTGGACATGACGCTGCGGTCCTGGCAGCACACCGAGGAGGGCAGGAGGAGGACGCTGCAGAGGAGCGACGTCGAGGCGGTGATCAAGAAGACCGACATCTTCGATTTCTTGGTGGATATCATCACTGATGATAAGATGAAGGATGATGGCATGGGCTCTCAGGCTGCATCCATGGTTTCGCCATATACCTCAGGAGGAATGGGATTTTCCTTTGATCTGTACCCGAACCAGCATCACCTCGCATATATGTGGCCTCCACAAGAGCAGCAGGAGCAGTGGCCTCCACAGGAGCAGCAGGAGCAGAAGCAGAAGCAGGATTCTGATGGTGGTGGACAAGATGAATGAGATAAATCACATTCTGTGATTACTTATTGTCGTAGTGTGGTTTGGTTAGCTTGAGTTTGGTTGGAAAAACTTTTTTTTTCCGTAGACTGTTTTTATGTTTGTTTTGCTGCCTTCTGGTAGCGATAGGAGGGCGATCCGGTCTGAAACTGTTGGTAGCATTCATGATGAATTTCTCAGTGGTTATAATTTATGAATCTTAGTAACAGCTGTTGCAAGAACAAATATTTCCTCTGGTTAGAATTGTTTTTTAATTTCCTTTTCTTCTTTGGTCCGGATTAACTGTATCGACGAACCATTGAATTATCATCGGCGATATCTTCCTAATAACGCTGGTTTCGTTTAATTCCGATTAATGGTTTAGGAAAAACAACAGAAAAGATTAATGGTTTAAGAAAAACAACAAAAACAATAGTGCTGACCAGGTTCAAAAACGGGGACAGCATTCGTTTTCGATTTATCAAGACAGCGTTTGCTTTGCTTTAAAAATGTTGGTTTGCATACATAGGATTCAACACAATATCAAAATAACCAAAGCATCAAGGTCAATCGGCACCATATCAGAAGCATTCTACTATTTGAAACCCAACAGTTTACAAGTTCATACTGATAGGTTAAGCTGACAGAGGACATGGATTCTACAGCATCATTTCAGTATGAACTTGAAATAAGCATTTGAATTATGCAGTCCTTTTCTCTTCTCCTTTACTGGTTAGGCTGACAGAGGACATGGCATCTACAGCATCATTTCATACTGACAGGGGAAAAAAATGATGAATGAACCTTACTCTAGAACTGATCATTTACAAGTTCATCTAGGCCTACACACAGCAGAATGTCACACCTGCTCACTCTCTTGTCACACCTGCTCACTCTCTGAATCAGAAACCAAAGAACAAAAAATGTTCATATATAGTATATCTGGCCTACATTGAGAAGACTTTCATGGGGAACATTGAATATCACACTGTTCTCCCTGCAGATCTTCCTGAGGAATGCAAACACATAATTCACAGCAACCTTCTTGATGATCCCTGAATCAGGGCGCGCGTGAACCACAGTGTTCCCCAGGATGTGCACGACACCAGCGTCCTTGCACCGGTTCAGGAACTCCAGGTTCAGGAACTCCAGTTCATCGCCGAACGTCTGGCTCGAGTACCTTGTCAGGCTGTTCCCTCTTATGGGTGACTTGGCTGGAACAATGGAGTCCTGTGATGAGTAGCTCAGGTCACCAGTGGAGCACATTGTGTTGCTCCCAGCCTTTCCAGTTAGCAGCAGCGCATTGCTTGATCCCTGGGTCTTCTCCTCCATCATGGTGAAGTCTTCGGAGTCCGAATAGTCATCCATCATGCTCTCCAGCCTGACGAAGAGCAAGAGCCTGTCAAGGAGCATCTTCTCGAAGTCGTCATCTCTCTTGTGGATGTCCTTGTACCCGTACCTCGCGACACAACGGAACATGTGGAAGTTCTTTGGCCCGATCCTCTTCACGATGAACCTTTCTTCGGTTGGGACTGTATATACTGGGAGGTACTTGACACAAACGAAGACGACGACCGAGTGGATGGCAGGGAGGTTGGTGATGAAATGGGAGAAGATATGAGGCACTCCACTTGCCAGCTCGGTGTACACGAAGCCTATCCCAGGCACCCTGACGAGGCCGAGGCTTGGTCCGAGTCCTAAAATCCAGGCCATGGAAACCTTGCTGTGCATCTCAAATTCATACCGCTTCACGGTGCAGAAATGCCACACATACATGATGATGAAGCAGGTAGTTGCAACAACAAGTGGAACCCAACCACCTTGGTCAACCTTGTTAATGCAGGCTGTGAAGTATGGGAGCTCCACCATCAACGAGAGCACGATAAAAATGACAACAAGGATCCAGTGGCTTTTCCATACTAACAGCATTATTGGGACCATGAGAAATGTCGTGACCAGCATAACTATCACCACTGCAGTTCCTGTTCAACGACATCATAAGAAAACAATTAGGGTGACATCTATGGAATGCAAAATGCAACATTAATGTTCGGTTTGCAGTTATATTTTGAGAACATCAGTTGTCAATTTGCAGTGTCCTAAAAAAATTGCATCGCGCTGTTTTGATAATGTTCTCTATCAGATAATGCTGACCCACTTTACTTCTTATAGAAAGATAAGCTCATTTAAAACCTGAAGCATCATGCAGTGTGGTAAGAAAGTTTATTTAGGATTTAATTATTATCCAGCTATCAGTTCTCAATTATATTGCTTCTTTTGTACCATAGCACCAGTCTTTTAGAACCTAGACTTGGTAGCTGACAACACACCGCGCACATATCGTGACATAAAGCTAGAAAATACTTATGGAACAATGCCAATTTTGTTCGGCTTAAAATGAAAACTATCTGAAGCTATCCCCTATTCAGCAGCAGCGTAAAAAACTGTTGATTGTCTACTTTAAGTGCATTGAAAGTATCAGTTACATGTTTGGAGATGGAAAAGAAAAGCTTACCATATGCATTTCCTATCTGACTTTGGTTTTTGAATCCAGCTGTTACTGCAATGCAAAGAATCATAAGTACCCAGTTGATGTCAGGGATGTAAATCTGCCCGAGAAATTTCTTTGAGGTGTGGACGACACTGACTCGAGGAAAACAGCCCAGTGCGAGAGCTTGCTTTATTATCGAGTATGTAGCAGATATAGTGGCTTGACTTGCAACTATTGCTGCAAGAGTTGCAATGATGAATACTGGCCAGTATATGGTATCTGCAGCAATCAGGCATCACACCATGAGTACATAAATACATATAGTGCATACAGCACTGGTAAACAATAAGAATGGTGGGATATGCACTTTGCCAAGTTGCACATGGGATGCATTTGCATTTTACTTTATGACAGCCAAATTTGTTAGTTCAGAGGGGCAGGGACCTGGAATGGAGCGATAAAAGGCATCAACTACATGGTCCTTGTTGCTAATAATGTACGCAGCCTGTCCGGTGTATGCTAGGAGAAGGCAAGGGAACACCACTAACGTGAAAGCAATCTGCACAGACATTATTAGTTTACCGACACAATTTATCATGACTGATTTGTTTGAAGTGTTTATACCTGAATGGCCAAGACAGGGAAATGACATAAGTCAGCATATAATGCTTCAGTCCCTGAAGAGAGAAAATATATAAGTAATTCTGCTGTATCTTGTGATTTATGAATAATGCAATTAATCAATGAAAGGTACATGAGAATTGTGAGTAACCTGTGATGCTAAGCATGATTCCTCCAAGGGAGGTCCAGCTCTCAGACTTCCCTCGTCGGAAATACCGATAGATATAGACTGGATTATATGCTTTTAGGACTGAACTGTTGTACTTGTGTATGTTCAGTGCCCCAATAGTCCCAATTAGGATAAACCAAAGGAGCACTATAGGTGCAAAGAGCCATCCAACTTTATCTGTACCATAGTGTTGCATGCTGAATAAGCCAATTAGTATGATCACAGCAACGACTACAACCACATCTGCCAGGTATTGAAGCAATAAACATCAAATGATTTTACAACAATGGGAGATAACACTACATAGGGAAGAAAGCTTCTCAGTAAATCAAAGGAAGTGAACAATGCAACATAGTGGCCCAAGATCACAATATTTGCGCACACAATATTTAAGATACCGTTGCTGGTTTCTTTCATTCACTTTGGTTAAGTTCACATCCCTGTATACTAGTTACACTATGTTAAGTTCAGTTAAGAATTGACCAGATTTGGCCGTGTACATCCTTTTGGGTGTAGAGGCCAGATTTTAATCCATTTTTTTTAAAAAAAGAGATAATTGACCAGATTTGACAACACCAATATAAAAATACAAAGAGCAGAATTACCTGTACTCATCTTCTGATTCTGAACTCTTATTCCACCTGATGCAGAGAGAACTGCAGAGCAAACAAGTGTCACAATCCAAGTTCCAATCGGTTTTACCAATGAAACTACTATGCTGAATACCTGATATAGCAGGAGTAAGGATCCCATCTCCAATGGCTGTGCAGGTACCAATGAGAACTAGAATAAGAAGACAGTTCTTTTTATACACATGTCCCTCTAGCCATCTCTTTATTTTTGCTGCAAGTGAATTCTCTTCATAAGTTTGCCGACTATATGTTGTTAATTCTTCATCTGTCTTATGTTGGTTGGGAATAGTGCTGACCTTTGCATGCCGGCAAAGTAAAGAATAGAGAGCGAATGTGCCACCTGTGAAAAAAGTCTAAAATTTATTATCTAAAAAAATGTGCAAAATGCAAACAAACTACTCCTATGTCAATTTATTGCCAAGTGACTGTCAGTAACTGTTCTCTGAGCACAAAACGGAATGAACTCAGGACATCACCTTCTACAGATTTCATGACTAGTTCAGTGCTATCTACCAATCATTCTGGCATCACTACGACAATGTTCTGTTATTTATGTGCCAACCTATCGAAATGGTAAAATTGCATAATATTTCTATATTCTCATCTCATACCAAAATCTTGTTATATTTGACTAACATGAGATATTTCCTAACTGCATTTTTCTATTTTTTTTCAGATGATAAGTAAATAAAGAAGCAGCATATTTGGTTAAACATTGGCAGAATGTGATATCTCACCTTGGCCATTATCATTTGCCCGCAAGACAACAAAAACATACTTCATCAGAGGAATGAGGGTGAGGGTGTAAATGATCAAGGAAAGAGCCCCAATAACATCCTCATCATCATCGACCCCATGAGGGAATATATTGTAGAAGACATATAATGGAGATGTACCTAAGTCACCGAAGACAACACCAAGGCTCTGAAACGCGAGCCGTAATAACAAAATCGACGAGAACTTCTGCATGAACAAAAACAAAGCACATTTTAGCTCCCCATGAGCTAAGAATATGATATTTACGCATTGCCAAAATGACATAGGGAGTACATTATCTTTCCACACCAACATCACTTATGCTGCCAGTGCCTAACAATTTGAGGTGAAACGAATAAAGATACTATAAAATCCGTATACAGTTCCTGCATTTGGAAACCTACAGTAACAGCACATCCATCATACAGTTTCAAATCCTTTTTATATTGAAATGGTCCCCAAAACCATGAGGTCATACAGAATCATCCATGTCAAAGAAACAATGTTTTTTTTTCTTGTTCCAAATACAAGCAGACACTAAGCTGGAAGCACGATTGTTACCCAGAAAAATATCTAGAAAAAAAATATCCCCATGAGCAAGGATCAATCTCTGACCTTCTCTGTGTACATGTTCTTGAGCCGGCTAGCCTCCTCATCCATGGGCTGATCAAGGTTCTGATCCAAATCCCATATGCTCCCATGGTTCGTCGTCTCGCTATCCGAAATAGACGCCATGGGTGGGTCTCCTTCAACCTCGAATCCTCACACGAGGGAACTCTCCAAGTGGCTGAAAGCGACCTTTGCTCGAACCAGAAATGGAAGCTTCCAGCTTCCCAAATGGAACTCCAGAGCTTCTCCACCGAAGCAAAGATCAACCACAACTCGTAGAACTCTCTCTCACCGGAAAATTCCAACCCGAATCCTCAAATCCACCACCAAAACCTCTTGTCACTTTGGTCTACGCAAAGGCTAATCTTCGAAGAGATAATCCAAGAACATGAGCTTGCATAATCCAAATCAGAATGCCACTTCGAATCTTGACACTTAAACTCTTTCCAAGATCGAACTCCCTCCCTCTTTGATCCCCACAAGAACCAAAAACGGGAGCTTTGGTACAGGAGCGAAGAACCAATAATCACAGCTAAAGAAAAATAATCTCCAAATCAGAGCCCAGAAAATCGGATTTGGGACTGATTGGGCGAGCTACCCGGAAATATCAACCAAGAAAACCTCCTCTAGAACCAAGAAAACCAACCAAAATCTCAATCTTTCCTCCCCAAAGCCTCCCCAAGATCAAGCTTTGATGCCACAGTCGCCACCAACAGCACAGCCGCCGAGGTGGGCCGCCGTCCAATTGGCAAAAGCGCAGAAATCTTGACAGAAGAGAGTGGGAGGATGGGGAAAAAAATGAGAAATGATTTATGGTGCGGAGAGAGAGAGAGAGAGAGAGAGAGAGAGGGGGGAAGAGAAGGCAATATGCAGAGTCATAAAAGAAGTTGCAGGAAGAGCATATGCCTGGACTGGATGGTAGTAGGTGGAGGAGCACACAAATTGGAATTGGAATTGAAATTAGGCCATCTGAATTGAAAATTCAAACAAAAAAAAGAGTACCTTTTTCCAACCGAATTTCTTCTGAAATCAAAAGCGGCAGTCAAGTTTTGGTGCTATGGAAATGAGAAGTAAACGTTTCTCTTTGGATTCTTGCCCATGAGTGTGTACTGTCTTTCCTCAGCTGGCAAGTCCCTGGTCCTGCCACTGCTACTATTGTACTAGTAGGAGTAATCATTTTATTATGTTGGTGATTGTACTGTTGCTAAATTTGTTTATTCCTTCATCTCAGAAGAAAAATGCCTTTGTTTATTGATGAGATCTAGATTTTGTTCTTGACTTTGTTTGAGTTATTCTGTTTGTTCCACACAGAACTATCTAGGAGTAGTCCCTAACAGTAGTACTAAGGTTTAGAGCAGCATATGTGCTATATTATGGCCCTGTTTAGTTCTAAAGTTTTTTTTCCAAACTTCCAACTTTCCATCATATCAAATCTTTCATACACACACAACTTTTCTATCACATCGTACCAATTTCAACCAAACTTCCAAACTTCAGTGTGAACTAAACACAACCAATATCATTTCCTTACAGATAAAAATGTTCAGTAAAAATTAGATACGAGATCATATCGGTAATAAAAGGACAATAGGAGTAAGAATTTATACATTAGAGATTTTATCTCAAATCATATTGGATAATTAAAACTAGATGCTGGAGGCCAAGAGTTGATTTTCCCCATTATTAGGCTATAATCTTTAACTCAAGATTCCTAACCTCTACTCCCTTGTTACCAATGCACACGTTATAGAAAAGTTATTGTAAAAGATCATATTAATCTATTTTTAAAATTTTTCTAATCTAATACTTAATTAATCATGTATGAATCCGTTGCTCCGTTTTACGTGTGAATGGAAGAGGTTCCTAACCCCTTCAAAAGAATACAGCCAAAGAAAACTCTCTCTGACTAATTAAACATATTTCATTATTATCTTGGATGGAAATAAAATATACAGCCGTATTAGAAATTTTCTGGAATTATCTCGTTGCAAATATTGACTAGATACAAACCAATACGCAAGCATGCAACCTATGCAAAACCGTCTTCTTGGCACAAATGGTAAGCCGATTTTGTCTTTGGGTGCATACAAGAAAAAGTAAAGTACAAAACAGAAATGAAGCATTCATTTGCTCAACTACAAAATTCAAGCCAGGGGGTACACAACCTCAAGACACGTACGGTTGAGAACTTGAGACAAAGGCAGAACAACCACCTCATTGGCATCATCGATGATCGATCGATAGCGTGCGACACAAACTCATGAAATGCAGAAATGTGTGTGTTGTATTGTTAGAAAATGACATCTCCACCATCGATTTTAATTTATTAGAAAGATATACACGCCATATACTCTTATTAAGTGGTTTTACGAGTGCCGATATTAACTACAACAGTATATATATAGATCACAAGACTCATGAAAAGCATCATAAAATAGGGTTAATATGTTTTTCTGAAATTAACACTTATATATAGCAATTGATAACTCGGGCATCCGTTGTTATATCGGAGTTTTCCTTAATTTACATGAGAATTAAACCGCTTCTAATTTATTAATATTAATTATAAAGATGCATATAAATAATTTGTTAATCGCGAATTTGAAGATGATTCTGGCGTTGTTCGCGGCGCCTGTGTACCACGCAGCCGTCGTGTCACAGCCAGCTGCTTCTTTACGCAAATGTGACAGCCGCAGCAGCTGCCTAGTGCAGCCAAACGGCCAAACACATGCCGTATGTGCAATTTTATTTTACTTGATCAATCAGAGGCATGCAAAGCATGTGTGGTATATATATTTGAGTAAATTAACCAGCTAACAAAGAAATTTTCTTACCGTATAGTCATTATCCTCCTCTGATATATTGTTAACTCTAGCTATAGGTTTCTAGGCTTCTAGCTAAACTTGTCATATTCTTTGTTTCTTGCTAGTAATGGATATGCTATTTAGATCCTGTCCACAATGCTTGCTGCTGACTTGTTGAGAGTTGATTATGGAACTATATATATATAATCTTATACCACACTACATTACTACTAACATTTAGTAACATATTTAACTGAGTGACAACTTTTGATGATAGTCAAATCGCATTAGAAGAAGAAAGAGATGCCATAAATTAATTGCCACTAGTGTAGACAAGGTACAGCGTCTCTATCCAAGCTGCCAATTAATTTTAAGAGAAAACCGAACGCATGCAGGTGTGTGATCACGTTTTACTCGATCGGATTTATAATTTTCTATTCTATTACTTTAACCCTCTACATATGGATTGGTTAACCAACCGAAGATCTCGATTAATTAATAGCATCCATAAAGACAAAATCTAAATAGTATACATAAGCACTATTTAATCTTAACGGGTGCACACTTTGCTACGTAAGAAAGTGCCACTTATTATACAAGTACATCAAGATAAATACTCTCTCCGACCGTTTAACGAGTGCACATTGTTCTAATTTATGATCCGATTACACCATTATATTCGTTGTAATAAAACATTTATAATAAGATCTCACATAATTATGTTCTAATGAGAAAATATATATGCTATAAATTATTTTTATCATATATATAAATTACTCTTAGATTTGATTAAATTACTTCTGAGATAGTTATGAAAGTAACTTCAATAAAACCTAAAAGTAATCTACATAAATCATAAAAGTAACTCAATACATAATAAAAGTAAGCTGTCACGTCACTAAAAGTAAATCCATTGTGGAGGAAAAACACAAGTCTATCAAAAAACTAAATTTAATCATCATAGATTATAGAGCTAACTAAAACAACAATAAAAGTAAAAACTCACAATATTATGAATATCTAAGGAGTAATTTAATTAAATCTAAAAGTAATTTATATATATGATAAAAGTAATATATATATATATATATATATATATAATATGTAATTTATTATAAATACTTAATTACAATAAATAAAATGGTATAATCGGGTTGTAGATCCGATAAATAATTTAAATTAAAATTGTATATGAAGCTTATAGTTATTAGGAATCTTTTCTAGTCTTTACTATTATATGGATACTTTCACATAGGAAAGTGATGCATGTTATATTTTGGTAACTAATTAAGACTAACTAGTGTACATGCACTTCTTAGTGGCGTCCATCTATAAAGCTGTATGGAAAGGAGGATAAAATTGGAGATGAAAAAAGGGGGCAAATAGTACTTAAACTGAAAGGTATTGTCTTTTTTTTCCCCTAAAAATACTATTTTTAGCTTCACTATTCAGTATCATAGCTAGGAAGATAGTCTTTTTAAGAATGAAGATAATACAAGCTAGACAGCGAAATGTAAAAAAATAAGTTCCAACCTAATTCGGCAACATATGGACTTAGAATATATATATATATATATATATATATATATATATATATATATATATATAACGAGTTTAATGCTCTAAGCATGATGCTAATTAAGGTAGCAACTTAGTTCAATCCGATCCGGGTAACTTTACATTCAATAAATGTGTAGTGTGTAGATATTTATCTTGCTCCCCAACATATAATCTTTATTATTGTGTTGTTACTTTTGTATGGATATATTAGTTGTTTAATAACACATTGATGTTTGAATCCTATTGTATCTGTCACTGCTGATGTGCGTGTTTCGGATAAAATGTAATGCCAAGTCATCAACGGCGACATGTTGCGGAAAAAGGTTAACTTGTTTGACTAAACTAAGATAAAGTGAGAGCTCATATGAAGCACTATAGACAAAAAAGAAGTTTCAACATCTTGTGGATATTTGCATGATTGAGCGAAAAAAATTTCTTAAAAATCATGGTGTAGTCTTGAGGCTGTATCTTGGGAAGTTCATGAAGACATGCAACCAGAAGTAAAATCAGGGGGGCAAGGATATGTATATAATATTGCAACGAGAAAAACAATAATATAAACATGATTAATTAAGAATGAGAAGTTATGCAGGGGAGTGCCTATCTCACCTTAAGGAAGTGGCTCTTCGAGCATCCAATAGACCTTTTTTTTTGGTTCTCAAAAAAAAAATAGACCCTTTTTTTTTTTTTTTGCTATGGATAGAGATCAAATTTGTGGGGGCTATTTGAGATTTATAATAGCACAGCTTGCAGATAAACTCCAAGAAACAGCAAGTCCATGAAGAGTTGTTCTGATGCATATCTCATGAAATATATATAGCTACTTCTGCGTGCAATTTATTCACCTATTTTTTTATTTCAATCAATTACAACCTTCGTTCATTTAATTTTACCCCGCTAGCTACTCCCTCATTCCCAAAATAAGTACTCTCTCCATTTCAATTTATAAGACGTTTTGACTTTGGTTAAAGTCAAACTACTTCGAGTTTGACTAAGTTTGTAGAAGAAAATAATAATATTTTCAACCCAATATAAATTTATTATGAAAATATATTCAATTACTGATTTAATGAAATGAATTTGGCATTATAAATATTACTATATTTGTCTATAAACTTAGTCAAACTTGAAGTAGTTTGACTTTGACCTCAAAACGTCTTATGACCTGAAACGGAGGGAATATTTCTAGAAACTCAAATTTTGTATACATTTATAAGCATTTCTTAGACATTAATTTAAATGCATATTCCTAATTTCTATTTCCTCGTTTTCTGTGCGCACGCTCCTCAAATCGCTAAATGGTACATTTTTTAAAAAAAATACATAGGAAAGTTGCTTTAAAAATCATATTAATCTTTTTTAAGTTTGTCAAGGTTACGGATAAGGTATACCCTCTATCCTTGGATATACGGTGGGTACCGATACAGTATACCCGCGCGTGTACGAATAGTTTCCGTATACATTAAAGAAATCTATCCCGTGATAGAAACGGAATCTACGGATGGAAGGACTCCTACTCGGACGAGACTGGGTCTTTACCATATCGTGAGGAGTCCGATATCTCCAAGTCCTACTTGGAGATCAACTGACCCGCGGTA